GCTTTGAAATCCCTTTGAGGTGTTAGCCATCTTAATGATCCCTGTTTTATTTTTTAATACTATAAACAAATAATAAAAGTACTGTCTACTGATTAAGTGGCCTTATGATTAAATACATATTTTACTCTGTGCCTGATGTAAGTATGCGAGCAGGAAGAGTTCCAATAGTAGTGGAGGGAGCCAGAAGTATGGGTGACATATTTATTTGCATAGAATAAGAAGAATACATTTTAACTGCTGTTTATAGAAAACATGTTCTTTGGCACAAGCTTCACAAAGACTGGCAGGAACAGAATTCCATGGAATTAAGTTGAAAGTCAATCGTGGGTAGATACCTAGGAACTCTTACAGTACTGTAGTCAGTTTGGTAGTTAAATGCCAAACAGGCAAACAGGTCTTTGTATTAAAATTGTCCTTCGGAATGGAATATGTTAAAATCTATAATGTTAGAATGCAGTGTTAATTCTAAAGGAAGAGACTTCCTAGAGAAATTTTAGTGTTTTTACCACCATCCAGATGCAGACATTGAACATATAAAAAACTCAGCCTCATTTTGCATCCTTGGGTCTTGGGTTTTATGTGTCTATTAAAATTAAATTTGGCTCTTTTTCCTGCAAGTCATTTTGCTTTCTGGGCTTTAGAACTCATCTATCTTAAGAAACTGTGTTGTGTGTGTTTTGTATTTTTTTAATTTAAACAATAATTCTTTTTTTAAAAAAAATTTCTTTATTGATTTCAGAGAGAGGAAGGGGGAGAGAAAGAGAGATAGAAACATCAATGATGAGTCATTGATCGGCTGCCTCCTACACACCTCCTACTGGGGATCGAGCCCTCAACTGGGGCATGTGCCCTGACCGGGAATCAAACTGCAATCTCCTAGATCCTAGGTCAATGCTCAACGGCTGAGCCACGCCTAGCCGGGCCAAACAATAATTCTTAAATCAACACCTGTTAGTGTATTCTATTAGCAAGCATTTTACAGATCTTTTAATGATCAGTTGTGCTCTGTGAACTGAGCAGGCTGTTATTCTCTAATTAGCTGGGAGTCTAGGACTGGTTGCCTCATGGGAGAGACCAGATACAACCACAAGAAACCCAGCAAAACTAGAAAATGCAGAAAAAAAGGGAAAATAATATAAAATAGGATCATATCTAGATATTAATTTTTTCAAATATGAATCTTATATGTATATGGGATACAATATTATGCAGAGATTTAAAGAACAGGCTTGGGGTCAAAAGTGACTGAATTATGGAAATGGAGGTGATAATCCCACCTCCTAGGATATGATGTGAGGACACATGGCAAGCTGTATGAAATGTTATNCTGACGGGGTAAATTACTAAACCTCTCTGAGCACCATTTTCCTGCTTTGGAAATGGAGGTGATAATCCCACCTCCTAGGATATGATGTGAGGACACATGGCAAGCTGTATGAAATGTTATCCATTATTAGCATTTGAGAGGATGAGTAACTGACATTTCGTTGGTTGTCAACTAGATCTAGAGAATTGTGGGATTTCTTCAATATTAGGAGGAAATTTGCCATTGGGCACTAGCAATGAAACAGTGTTTTTATTTTTCAAAGTTTTTGATTGGGCAGGTTTTTAAACTAAGTCATTAACATCTTTCGTAAGCTCTTTTCCCTTTTTTGCTTTTGTATACCTCCTTAATATTCATTTAGATGCCAGTGTGGTTTGTCAGAAACAGCTGCTCACAGGGCAGCAAGCTTTCTGAGAGTAAGGGGTACATGTAGACATCCCTTCGTAGGGGGTGGTGACGGGGTCCTCTACCTTAGTCATCCTGACGTCCAAATCAGGATGCTTGCTAGCAGGAAGGCCAACCTGGATGGAGTGGATAAGGTTGAATTTCCCGGGATTCAGTGGTGTGCAAAATCTAGCTTTTGTATTTCTCTTGATATTGATACCAGTTCCTGATGCACAAAATAAAAAATGTCAAATTGATCTTCTCTTTTGAAAATATGAAATAATCTGATAAGCAGGCATTTGGTTTGGTTTTATTGATTCAGAGATCCACCACCTTTTTCCCTTACATCTCCCTGAATGCTCAGCAATTTCAGAGCAAGTATGTCTTCACTAAGAAGAAGCAAGGCTTTCCCCTAAGAAGAAAAAGGACATGGCATGAAATAAGTAAAGATCACAAAGAGTGTTGAGTTGCCTTCAATTTCCTGAGGTTATCAATCTTTGGAAGGCCTGGAGTTGGAGGGGGAAATATGGAGAGGTCAGAAATTGTAGTACGCGTGAGGTTTGTTGTCCATCTTATTTCAATAGTACATATTCAAACAAAATAGACCTTAGATACAGCAGCCGGAGAAAAGCCACAGTCACTTATTCCACCCTGACAACTGATGATGGCAAGCCTCGTGATTACCTTAGACCAGGCATAGAATTAGCCAGAAGGACCCCTCCCCATGAGCATGAAGGGAGAGGCTTGGCTTCCTAATGGGCATAGCAGGGTGTGATGCATCAGTTAATCCAGTAGCTGTAAGAAATTGTTCAGCTGTAGGTAGAACAGGAAAGAAGCCAGACAGCCCTGTTTTCCTCCATTTATTATCAAATTTTGTTCCTTCAGAATTCTATTCTCTTGACTCTGGGTTTTGTGTTGATAACCACAGTCGAGACTGGGAGAAACAGTAAAAGCACAGGGGTCTGCATCAAGATATTGCAGTTTGATTTACAAGGGGTCCTGGCCACAAAGTGTCATGCCTAGAAGTTTCCTCCTTCCTTCATATTCCTCTTGTCTGTAGCTATGGACATGGATCCCTAAGTGCAGTGTGCTCCTAGCTTTCTCCATAATACGTCGTAACTTCCAGGGAGAGCTTGGGACAGCCACTTAACCTCCCAGCTTTCCTTATCTGTAAATGGAAATGACAGTTCTTCCTCTTCTCATTCACAAGGTGGTTGTGAGGACCCTCTGAGAAAACTGATTTGGAAGAGCTGTGAAATGATAACCTACCTAGGTCTGCGCAGACATCACCTCCGATAATCCTTCCCTTGCAGACTGCGCCTCGGTCACTGGCCTGGGTGGCAGGGTGGGCAAGGCCCTGGGCTGGCAGATAGAGAATGCAGATGCTGGTGCTGAGACGACACAGAAGAACCTGTGTTAGTTTTTGCTGCCTGGCTCCTTCTTGGTCAAAAGTTCCATCAACTTTGATTACTACCTGCAAATTCTTCATGACATTCTGTTTGTTAAAGTCGCCTGTGAAATTTGGTTATAAGTCTCTTCTTAGAACCCTCTAAATGGGGTCCTGTATTCCTCCCTGTGTTTCCTAACCCTGTGCCTTGTGCAGATGGCCATGGATTTGTATCCATCAAAGATTATAAACTTTGGAGCCTTGGCCCATGCCAGTATGCATCTGCATGTCCCACCATTCGACCCCACTTTCATAGCAGGCAGGGTGTTTAGAGGGAAAACTAAAGACAAATTCGGAGGCTCCAATAAGTCAAAAATTTTTTTCTGGACAGTAATAAACTTGGCCAAATTAGGGGCAAGCTTAAATATATCATAACTGCTGACAACACGGGCTCCTTGACATATGCTTTGCAGTCTGGGTCAAGTTGCTTTTCCTCTTCCTGAGCCTCAGTGTCTCCATCTATAAAATGACATAATATAACTACTACTCAATAGGGCTATTGTGAGAATTAAATGAGTTCATACATGTGAAGTATTTAATGTGCAGCCAGATACATAGTCAGCACACAGTAAATGTTAACTGTAGGTAGAAAACCAAGAAAGCAGAACCCCCTTCCAAAGGTAAACATTTATATATTTTCCCTTCTTTTCTGAGTACTGAATTTACAGTTAACCACTTCTTTGTCTCTGTGTTTATAGCTGAATCTTCTGATTCCTCCTGTGTGATAACTGCTTGCTAATTTCCCTGGTGATATCTATTGGCTCATGATACTTTGGGATTCAAGTCTTACCTCCTCTGAGTCTCAGATTTTCTCATTACTATAAGGAAAATAGTAATGCCTGTCACACGGGGCTACTGAGTGTATCAAAAGAGCTAATCCCTAGAAAGTTCTTATCGTTGTGTTTGGCATAGAGTAAGCATTCGATAAATATCAATAGGACCATCCCTATGGTTTTCTTACTTCATTGGATGGGAAAATATTTCCTTCCCTTGCAACAACTCTTTGGATGTGAGAAATTTAATTCTAACAAAAAACTCATTAAATCTGTTTTTGAAAAGAATTCTTGATAAGGAGGTGAAAAAGGTTCCCACACCAACAAGCAACTCTTGGACGCCAGCAGGGTGTCTGAGAATTCAACTCAGTCCTAACACTACCTACCCAGAGATACAATCAGATTCCACAGGCAAAGGGCTCAGTCCTACAAGACCACGCTTCACTTCAGACTCACTTGCAACCCCTCCTTGGGTTCTGTTAATTTGTAAGAACCCCTCATAAAACTTAAGAAAATCCGTTTACTCACTAGATTATTGATTGATTACAAAGAATACTAAGGATCTGAATCAACAGCCAGATGAAGAGACACATAGGGCAAGGTCCTGAATGAAGCCCAAGGAGATTCTGTCCTTGTGGAGCTTGGGGCTCATCATGGTGGCAAAGTATTTTGGTTTTCCAGCTTGGAAGCTCTCTGAAAAAAGGGCAAGGAACTGTCTTTGGGGGGTTTTATGGAGGCTTCATTATGCAGTCATGATTGACTAAGTCATTGGCCATTAGCAATTGATTCAACCTGAAGCCCCTCACTCCTTCCCCGGATATCAGGGTGTGGGACTGAAAGTTTCAATCTTCTAACGGAAGGTTGGCTCCATTGGCAATGAGTTCTGATCCGTAGGTGCTTTCCTAAAGTTACTTCATTAACATAACAAAGGATACCTTGATCACTCTCAACACTTAAATTCTGTGGGGTTTGGGAGCTCTGTGCCAGAAGTGGGGGCAAAGACCAAATATTTATTTATTATTATAAATCACAATATCACAGGGGACCTCTGTATCTATTTTCACTATTTCAGACATTTCTGCAAGTGACTGGTGTGGTAGGCGTGGCGGTGGCTGTGATTCCTTGGATTGCAATACCTCTGGTTCCCCTTGGCATCGTTTTCTTTGTTCTTCGGAGATACTTCTTAGAAACGTCAAGAGATGTCAAACGCCTGGAATCTACAAGTGAGTACCAAGGCGCTCAGGTTGGGAAGGCGATGCAAGCTAGCTTCCATTCATGCCATAATTCAGGAGACTCCTGAAATTCTGCGGACTATATTCCAAAATTTCTCACAAAGTTAACATTAGATAATTGAATATTAAAACCGCCATTAGTGCCTGGCTGGGCGTGGCTTAGTGGTTGAGCATCGTCCTAGGATCCAGGTGATCGAGGTTCCATTCCCGGTCAGGGCACATGCCCGGGTTGTGGGCTCGATCCCCAGTCGGGGGCGTGCAGGAGGCAGCCGATCAATGACTCTCTCATCATCGATGTTTCTCTCTCTCCTTCTCCCTCTCCTTTCCTCTCTCTGAAATCAAGAAAGATATATTTAAAAACAAACAAACACAAAAAAACCGCTATTAGTGTGGCCTTTAAAGCAGGTAGATCAGTGTCATACTAGGTGCAGCTTTCAGTTTAGCACAAGGAAAGAATGGAGTATGTGCATGGAATAATAATCTGTGGGAATGTGAGCACCGTGAAGATGGGGACCATTTCTGTCCTGGGCATGACATACTTCCTAATCCAGAGCAGGAAGGCAGTAAACGTTTTCCTGAGATATAAAATATTTTATCATGTTTTAACTAATATAGAAGAAAAACAGATTTTTCCCCCCTGAACTTACTAGAAATGACAAAGGAAAGGAAAAGATGAGGGAAAGGATAGGAGGTGTCAGGAAATACACTCATGTCAGAAGTGATACATTTGAAAAATATATTACTTTCACATACTCAAAAAATGGCAAATAAGTTGTGGTTGTTAATTGTTTTAAAAACGATAGGCATCGTTATTTTCAGTTTTGCTTTTTATTGTCACCAGTATTTGGTGTACTGCCGCACTGTTTGTGGTTTTTCTTCCCTGGGCTGTCCATATAAATGGATCCTGAAAATAATCCCCTCGGGAGGACACAGGAGAGGAATCAGTTTAGTCTATTACTCTGTTCAGCTTCCTAGTGTCAAAATAATGGGGAAAGCATTTTATGATTTATCATTCTGTTCTACAGGTAATCACAGAGGATGGACCAGTTCTGAGCTTATCTCATTAATGCACATATTTTATTATTGAAACAAAATTTGTAAGGAAAGTAGATAATAATATATTTCTTAAATCTACAAGGTTAATAGCCAAAACATAAAGAAGGAAGGTATTTATATCAGAAACCTCAACTGTGGGCAGTTACTGCAAACTAATACCAACTTAGCTTCCTGGAAGCAGGCTAAGGAGAGAAACGCTGATTCCCATGGTCTCTGTATGTACCAAGTGGAAAAATACAGGTTCATCAGGATAAAGGAGTTTTTGTTGTGGCAAATGTGTGTTTCCTTTTTATTAATAAGCTTTGGGGGGGGTGTCATTTGTCCTAAGTATTTGCGTAAAGACTAGTGGGTGAACAGTTTTGTAAAAGCTATAGAAAACTTTTCAGGCATCAAGAAAACCAGCTAAACAACTGTGAGGTTTGGTTTTCTGAGATGTTTTAACGGGATGGTGGAGCAGTGTTGTCTAGGGGTGTGTAACATTCTGCTGATATGACTTGTTACAATGACAGGACGTGGAGAAGGCAGAATAAGCTATAAGTTCCAACCATTCTTTTGTGTAGACAGCAAGGCTCAGTCATTTTCTGTTTGAGGCCACTATCTGAGCCAGACCCTGGAGCTCATGCACAGTGTGCTTTCAGAGAAGATGGCAAGGAAACGATTGGCCAGTCATGTGACATCAAGCTCCAAACCCAACGTGCAGTTACTCAAAAGAGAATGGCTGCTATGACCACAAACAAATTCTGGGAGCGTGATGTCAGTGTCACATGCCACAGTGACCTCCAAACTCCAGGGCAAGTGTCCAGCAGGACAGTTATAAAAATATCTAACGGCTCCTTTAGCTGAAATTAAGACTCTTCAAAGGCACCTTGGCCATGCAGGTGCTGTGGGCACAGGGGAAGTGTAATACTCAGGTGTGCAGTGACCCATACAGAGACCCTTAGGGCACCAGCAGGCGCCAGTAAATGTACGAGGATGCAGCAAGAGAGCAGACTGCCCAGTCACCTTACGTATCATGCACCCGGCCTGTGCTAGGGACAGTTCCAGTTTCAGGGATATATTGACTTTATCCCAGCCGTTAAGAGGTTAATAATTGAAGGTGGTGACAGACACATAAGTAGCTAATCCTAATTCAGTGTGGTGAGTACTTTAACAGAAAATTCAATTTAAAACCACAACCGACTCAGAAATTAGTGAACAGTAATCCCCGCCTGGAAGGGAGGTCAGGGAAGAACATGGAGGGAGGCCATGCTTGAGGAGGACCTTGGTGAACAAGTTAGCAAGGAAAGAACTCAGTTATCTAAATCTAGCTATGATTTGGGTCTGCCCAAAGGTAGGGCAGAGAGAAGCTTTTATTCCCAGGTAGTTAAAGGGAAGCATGGTGTGACCAGGAGTTTGAGGGTTGACCTGGAGGGTCCTCTCCAGAAGAGGCATAGTCCCTTCTGCCCGAGGCTGCCCTCTGGGCAGCTCTGGCTATGCTAGTTGTGGGACACGCGACAACAGAGGGCAGGAGGCAGTTGGTTTCCTTGCATCGAGTCTCTCTGACTTTTCCCTGTCGTTGGTCTTTCTCTGCTTCCCCAGCCCGGAGCCCGGTGTTTTCCCACCTATCATCTTCTCTCCAGGGACTCTGGACCATCCGGGCCTACAAAACCGAAGAGAGGTTTCAGGAACTCTTTGATGCACATCAGGATTTGCATTCAGGTCTGTAAGTTTCTGGAAACGACTTCAAAGGATGGGACATGCCACTTCCTGAGGCTTGACCTTCCTCTCAGGTGGCCTTGTTGGCTAGCACTTCTCTCTGCCTCCCCCTCGGACCAGCCCCACATCCTGTCTCTGCACAACTCTGCCCTCTCCTCTCCCTTGGCATGACTCCTCTCAGAATCCTCTCCCCAGTCACACCACTGCTTTCCTCCCCAACTGGCTTGCGTTGTCCTTCATCACCAGACCCTGTGACTTTCTGTCCCTTTGGGGCAGGAGTCAGCAAACTTTTTTTTGTAAAGCGCCAGATAGTAAATATCTTAGGCTCTGTGTGCCATATCGGGTCTGTCGCAACTACTCAACTTTGCTGTTGTAGCACAAACACAGGCAGAGATAATGCATTCGCAAATGACTGTGGCTGTGTTCCAATAAAACTTTATTTACAAAAACAGGTGGTGGGCCGTTCCTTGCCCACGGGCCATAGTTTGCCAACCCCTTTTTCAGAACATGTGGGATAGTTTCCTAATTGTCAGATTTGTCACCCATTCGATATATAATATTCTTTACATCAGTGAAGTGTTTTTCTATGGAGAAATTTTAGAATTTCCTCTAAGTTTATAAAATCCTGGTTCATCTTTCCGATCTTTATTATATTCTGAAGATAAAATGGCACGTAGAACGTCATATGCAGATCCCTTTAGTGAGATGATCATTTAGATACAGGCTCCTAAGGCATGAACAGTGTGTGCTGGGCCCTGCAGTAAGTATGAAAGGTGCTGGAAACAAGCTGGGAGGTGCACTCTCTGCTGTGGGAGCACTGGGAACAATCAACCATGTGAGAGGCTGAGCTTCGCGTTAAGGCCCAGCTCCGCAAGAAATGCACCAATGAGACTGTTTTTCCATGTCCTCTAGAACTATCTCATTTCTGTTTAGAACCTGAGGGTTGAATTTTTTTCAGTGCATGCTCCCCACAAAGCCACTGTGCTGATTCCTAAGTATATCGCACCCAGCTTTCTGGAATCTTCAGGTCTCTTGGGTGTGTGACTCTGCCGTCCAACTTTATATAAAAGTCTGTAGCTCAACTGAGCAAAATGTTCCCCCTCATTCAGAGCAGTTAATGTGGTCTTTCTCTTTTTTCATTGTGCTTACTATGGTTCACAAACCCAGAGGCTTGGTTCTTGTTCCTGACCACGTCCCGATGGTTCGCCGTGCGTCTGGATGCCATCTGTGCCATGTTTGTCATCGTTGTTGCCTTTGGGTCCCTGATTCTGGCCAAAAGTAAGTACAGATGGGAGTAACTATTTGTGGTATGATTAGAATGTATAGCTGCATTTACAAGTATTAAATTAAACTCTTGCCACCTTGTCTGATGTTGTATACTGTTTGGTTCTAGCAGATTTGTATTAGAGCGTTTGCAGTGTCAGGTTGAGTGTGATTCCGCAGCGTGGCGCACATAGAGGATCATTGGGGTCTGGATGAGTTTCTTTTATCTTCTTTGAATGATGGGTTGAGACCTACACAAATGTAGCAAGCTGACCCTCTGAGCATCCTGGTAGTGTCTGGTAGTTGTGAGTAGAGAACCAAGTTTACTCTTAAGCATTTTGTCGTCCAGCTTAGGGCTTTAGATTTTAGCTTTAGGACCACTCAAGTGTCTTGGTTGTAGGTACCTAGTGCACGGGGTGGAGAAAGATACTCAGTAGGGAAGAATGTTATCCTCACTGCCACGTGGGTACCAGATGAGCGAGTGTTGGCGTGCATGGCTTGAATTCGCCCTCCCTAACTATTCCATGTTACAACACCAAATCGCAGCATCAAATAACAGAACAATGAGAGTAGTAGTTTAGATTTGAAAGCACTGGCTCTCAGAACCCATTGCTTTGTTTTTAGGTGTTTCCAACTATAGTTGCATTGGACCTAGTAAGTGAAATCACATAATGGCCTTTGAAACCACAATGAGGAAAGTCTAAATGATGACTTCTTCACCTGTATCATACTGCCAGGTGTATGCAGTCCTTTTGGAATTAATAAACTCATTTAATAGTCTCTGTGAATTCGCAGTGAGGTTTTTGTGTCATGGTCTCAATCAAAAGATAATAAAAGTGTAGCTATTACTATTATTGTATGCAAAGCGTCTAAATGTTTTAAAGGCGTCTTCCTGGTAAAGTGACAGAAGGAGCCAGACTCAGGGCTAAGAATGAGGCTGACTTGACTCCCCGTCGTCTTCCTTTTCCAGCTCTGGATGCCGGGCAGGTTGGCCTGGCGTTGTCCTACGCCCTCACCCTCATGGGGATGTTCCAGTGGTGCATCAGGCAGAGCGCCGAAGTTGAGAATATGGTAATGTTTATCTTAACGTTCTGAGCCTTTTCAAGTCTCTTTGCCATTCAATAGCATAAAAGCACTTCTTATGTAAAATATTAAAACTGTTATTTTTACATCGTAGCTAACAGAGCTTTTCAGATCCTTCTTCCATCTGTTTAAAGTTAATGTAGAATAAAATATATACATCTTTTTCTCAGTCTCATGTATGCTATGTCAGCAGGTTTTATGTTCCTCACAAGCTGTCTTCAAATGTAATAAAGGTCTCTGTAGGAGGGAGGTTCTGAAATCCCAGAATGCATATAGGCTAATTTCTTAGAGGCCTGTATATATTTTTTTCCTTAATGGGTATTTCCTCGTTCCTGCTTAAAGAAAAATTCATTATTTTTAGGTTGTTTGTTTGTTAATTAATTTTAGCATTTAGCATTTTAGCATTGAACACCTGAGTTTGCTGGCATCCCTCCTTTCCGTAGGATAAGCTTCCTCTTGGAATGTGTAGTCAAAAGTGTTGAGTTGTGATTGTTTAGGAGGGCTTTGTCAATATGTAAGGTATTTCCTTTTTCTAAAAAAAAATATATCTTTATTGATTTCAGAGAGAGGAAGGGAGAAGGGAGAGAGAGATAGAAACATCAATGATGAGAGAGTCATTGATTGGCTGCCTCCTGCACGCCCCTTACTGGGGATAGAGCCCAAAACCCAGGCCCGGGCATGTGCCCTGACCAGGAATCAAGCCATGACCTCTTGGTTCATAGATCAGTGCTCAACCACTGAACCACACTGGCCAGGCTAAGGTATCTCCTTTTATGAATATTTGCACCTTCTCCTAAAAGGAGGAAAACAATATAAAATATTTTCATTTTGCTCTTCTGATAAAGTAGAAAGTGACTATAAAATGAGGTTTGATGACTACCCAGTTTAATTTGTCTATAACAGACGGCCCTTTTGTAGTATAAATTACTGATTAGTGGCTATAAGTATTCTTTTCTTTGACAAAATCCTCTTTTTTTATTCAGGTATGAAAAGTAGATAAATGAAATCTTAGCATTCATTTCTCTAAGTTCTTTTAGTTTTCATATAATGTCGAGGGAAGTAGCCATAAGTAGAAGTGTCAGAAGACGAGGAACAAGTTTTTAAATCATCCAAATCTTCATCAAACCCCTGCTTCTCTCCTTTGGGGGTGTTGAGACCTGAGATATCCTTAACCAACTGGGCATGAAACCGGAATGGTTTGTTTACAGTCTGTTAACACCCATAAACAAGACCCTCCATTCCTAACCCCCATGATGTCCTGTGTCTTCCAGATGATTTCCGTAGAGAGGGTGATGGAATACACAGACCTTGAGAAAGAAGCGCCTTGGGAATACCAAAAACGCCCTCCGCCCACCTGGCCCCACGAAGGAGTGATTGTCTTTGACAACGTTAACTTCACATACAGTCTAGATGGGCCTCTGGTACTGAAACACCTGACAGCGCTCATTAAATCAAGAGAAAAGGTTTGTTTAAACCACCTTGCCTCTTTAAGATTTCAACTAAAGGTTTAGCTGCTGCGTCTGCTTGTTGGCTGCCTGGTGAATGAGTCTGTTCTTCTGTGGATGCAAATTGGTTATTGGTCAGTCTTTCTTGGAGACTGACCGTGAGTGTGAATGCCAGTGTTTCTCTCCTTGTGGTGTGAGCGGCCTCATGGTGATTGGTGAGCCCTGGGCCCCAAGGCAGGAACTTAACCTGACCCAGGATATGGAGCCAACATCTCGTTACTCATTTCTAAGCCTGGGAAGTCCACCCTGGCCACTTGTCACTAACTCTCCAATATCTAGTTCCTGTCGATTCTTACTTCTTTGTATTTCTCACTCCTCTTTCTCCCCATGGTGGCCTTCAGTCGCAGCCCTTCTCTGTCCCTTGGCCCATCCCATGTACTTGTCCTCCTCTAACCCATCCTTTGCTCTCCCACCAGCAGACTGCTTCTCTCTGAGACATAGATTTGACCCCTATGGGTCCCCCACTAGCTCCTGGCCTGGGTGAGGCACTGCTGGAACAATAGCAAGACCCCAGGTCTGCTCCAGCAGGGGCCATGTGTGTGGCCAGCTCTTAGCCACCAAAGAGGATTCTAGAATCCATGACCCAGTCAGGACACAGGAACCAGAGCCCCCAGCTGGAGTCAGTAAAGGGCCCAGAGGCTCACTCAAAATCGATGGAAGGAAGCCCAAGGGGGTGGGGATCATACACATGGGGGACCAGCGGGAAGTTTGTGACCTGGTCCTGCCAGTGTCTAAGTCCACCAGCATTGGGACTTGGGGCCTTAGCTGGGACCAGGGCAGGCACTTAAAGAAGTGGTTAAACCAGAACAGACGAGGCTGTAGAAAACTACTCCCACCTACCCCTCCAGCCTCAATTCCTAACGTGCCCACATTCCCTGCACTCAGCTAGTGTGTAGGTTTTGCCAAAGCATCAGTCCTCCTTGCTCCCTTACCTCAGAGACCCTTCCCTTCCGTCACCTGGCTGGTGAAAGTCTCCTCATTTTCAGAGTCAACTATAATGTATCTGCCTCTGTGATACCCTCAATTCTGCTGCAGCATCTTATATGTTCTTTTAAGTACACCCGTGTTCATAGAAGGATTCGTCCCAGTAGCCAAAAGTTGGAAGCAACCTGAATGTTCATCAAGGGATTAATGGATAAACAAAAAGAAAAAACTGGTAGATCCATACAATGGAATATTATTCAGCCTTAAAAAATGAAGGAAATTTTGACACATGGATGGACCTTGAGGATATTATGCTAAATGAAGTAAGCTTGGCACAAAAGGACATATGCTATATGATTCCACTTATGAGGTTAGTAGAGTAGTCAGATTCACAGAGACAGAAAGTAGAATCGTGGTTGCCAGGAGCTGGGAGGAGAGGCAAGTGGAAAGTTAGTGTTTAATGGGTACAGAGTTGTGTTGCAAGGCAAAAAAGAATTCTGGAGATTGGTTGTATAACAGTGTGAATGTACTTAACACTATTGAACTGTGTACTTAAAAAACAGTTAAGTTTTGGTAAACTTTTTGTTATGTGCATATTACCACAATTAAAAAATAAAAGGCAGCACTTATGCCATGCTTTGTAATTAGGGGTCTGACCTCACAGTACACGGAGGCTTCTTAAGGTCAGGGAGCATCTTATTTTCATCTTTATTCCCTAGAAAATGGCATCCTACAGGGCACACAATGGATGCCAAGGCTCTGCTGGCTGGGAGAGTGAGTAATATGCAGGTATGAGGCGACCAGTAACAAAAACAGTCAGTCAGGACAGCTCCTGTAAACAACCCATTACCTAGATGTGTTAAATACCTTAAGCACTGCTCTTTTAAGCTCCTTCCACCACAGACCCACTTAGTGGACTATAGCCATAATTTAATGAATGATACCCCTGTGACATGAAAGAATAAATGTTCAACTTAATGCCCAAATGATACCCGAGGAGCAGCTTTAGTGAGTCACGTGGCACACGCTGGCTCCTCATTATTTCCAGCTATATTGTAGGTCAGGAGAAAGGCAAGGACTGCTGTGTCGGGAAAACATTAACTACAGCTCTCCGTAGAGTCCTGTCCCTCAGAGCAGTCGGGGAGGTTCGCTCACTGGCAGACACTGTCCATCAGGTTTCAAGTGCCAGATGCAATTCTGTGAATTTGCACATGACTTAAATTTCCCAGGAAACCATACAGAATGAATTGTCTAAGGAACTCGGTCCTACAACTTAGAAACATAACAGGTTTGTATTCTTCAGTCTAAAAACCCCCAAGTCATAGGATTATCTGAGATTAAAATGTTTGAGGGAAAACTGAATTTGGAGACTGAGTTATGGTAACTGCAGTAACTTGGCTTTTGATTCATCTCTGTCCAACCACAGTATCACCTTTAGCTCCATTTGTGTGTTTAGAGATCGTACCCAGCCATTGTAGTTGTGAATGACTTCGCTTTGCCTGTGAAGATCCCGCATCTCATCTCCACACCTGTACCAGCCCCTGTTGCTCTGGGACACCCTTTTGTCTGGCATTTCACTGAGAGAATGTTCCCAAAGACATGGGAATGTGTCAGCACAGCAGAAATGCTGCTTTATTCCCTTTATTTCCTCTGCTGTCCAGATTCCTGGAAGTTGCAGTAAACAAGAAAGTCTAATAGGTACTAAGCAGGAATCTAATTCACAGAAGAAATAGCAAGTAAAAGAACCTAAATGAGGTAAATAGTACCCTAGGCTTCCTGGTTAGACTCTAAACACTGGCTGCATTTTTCATTTAGATGATTTTGAGGTTGATTTGATCATTTTAGAGAGTACTGGGCCATTTTAAAGCATTTCGCAGCTCTAGAGGTAAATTGATTTTGGTTCATTATTATTTTTTTGCTCAGAGCTCTTACTTGGATAATACATTTTACAGATGTGTACTAGACCTTGCTATAATGTGCAAAAATATTAGTTTTCTACATTTTCTCCTTTTTTACATAATACTTTCTCAGAAACTCCTCCCTTCATTCCCAGATTATCCCACTTCCCATGCCACTTTCTGATTCCTTACTGCTCAGACTGGTTGCAAGGGCCAGCAGCACCATCACCTGGGCTTCTTAGAAATGCAGAATCTGAAGCCCACCCAGAGCTCTTGACTCAAAATCCCACTTGAAAAAGAGCCCCCCCCCCAATCAAGTTCTCTCCCTAAGGCAGTTTTTGATGACTAATAGCCCATGATTCCCAAGAAATGTCCTTTGACAGTTTGAAATTAAGTTCATGAATTACCCCAACCCCAATGGTTGAGCGCTGTGCTCTAGAAAGTTCTATGTCACTTGCCACCCTACCCTTTTGTTTACAATTGTATTCTACAAATTGTGGATTTATATTGTAATCGAATTCCGTGTGATTCCAAGTTTATGCATTTATTTGCATCTTTTCAGTAAAGTCTGTCTTCTTCACAGGCAGTTTGTATCCTGCTGTCTGGCGTTTTCCACACCAGCCTCCTGCAGAGACCGAGGTGTTTCATCATAGGCTGGGCCCCGCCTGGGCCCCACCTGGCCCCAGAGGCATAGACAGCCAGGTGTAGCAATATATTTGAGGCCCTTTCAAAAGTTAGTCTTACTGCCCCAAGCAGGGCACTAAGTGGTGCACATGGTACTGTTTTCCAGATTTTTCTCTCCCAGCCCCAGCTGAGGGTGCCAGTTCTCCTTGTTACAACGAGCCCACCCAACCTTAGGGACCCTCTTTGCCCAGAGATGTCTGCTCTTTCGTCCCACCCACCACATTCTACTCACCCGTGTCCACGTCATGCTTTAACTGTCTGGCAACAGGATCCATATGTTAGGCCAGTTCCTTTAACCACAACTACACCTCTCCCACTTTCTCCCTGCTTGCTAGACAGAAGGACATCATAAGGTGCCAGGCCATCCGGGTGATACGGAGACCATGAGCAGAATGGGCAAGAGGCAGACAGAGCTGGGTTTGAGTCCTGCCACTTCTAGGCTCTATTATTTCAGGCAGGTTAATTGGCCTTACTAAGGCTCCATCTCTCTCTTGCAGAATGGAATAGGACCTAACCTCTAGGGTTGTTGTACAACTTAAACAAGATAAGACATGTAAACCACCTACTAGCCCCGAGACCAGCGCAGAGTAAACACTTGGACAAGAATCGCTGTCGTTATCACAGGGTGTAAAATGAGGATAACCCCTCGCTGGCTGCACACATGGTTGGCTGCTCCTTGAAAATGAAGGATTGGCTATTTGCAGTTGTATTTATGGTTATAGACCATATTTATGGTTATTTGCTGTGTCTGTCTTCTCTGTTCAGCTTATTGTATACCTAGACAATATGGTGGTAGATTTTCCATAAAAGCAGCCTGAGCTAAACTCTTCAACTCTCTATGAAATGCCTCCTTTGTGCAGGACGCCACAGGTAATACAAATTGTACAAAGGTGAGCCTAATACAGATCCTGCTGTCAACACATGCAGTCCAGTAGGAGAAACAAGGGAATATAAGCATGGCTGCTACATGAGATAGAAGGAGGTCACGGTTTTTAAGGAAGTTTAGAAAAAGACGATATAATGTGTTAGGGACAGGTAGAACGTCTCCGAGGAATTCAGCACTTGAGACAGAATCTGGACATGTAGTTAGGATTTTGGTATCTGGAAATGCATGGGAAAGACATTCCAGGTGAAGGGACCAGCATAAACAAAGGCACCATGTCTTGATTCAATGAGTGAAGAACTAGGCACCTGCAGAGTCTGCAGGGAAATGAACTACTGGGTATATAACACTCATTTTCACTCTTAACCTTCACAACTACCTAGTAATCTCAAGGAAGCTGACTTGTGGAGATTAAGGATGGAGAGGTTAGTTGGGACAGTTTTGTATAGAAGACCTCCCGGTGCACAGACAAGCACAGAGATGTCCTTGGGAAGGTTAGCCCAAGAAGTAAGTGCACATGGACCATAGTGGGAAGACTGGAGGGCAGAAAGCCACTGTCTATTGTGTACTTCTAGCAGAACGTAATGGGGAACATGATTCCACTTTTTGGAATGAAACTCATGTCAGTTAAAACAAAGTTGTAACACCCAGGTTTGTGAATGTGCAGGGAAACGGGTAGGAGTAGAAATGGGTATCATATTTCTGGAGGGTAGTTTGGCAGTACTTAATAGCCTCCTTTGAAAATGTTCATACCTGTCTCTCAGCAATTCCACATCTAAGAATTCATCTTAAGGAAATAATTAAGGTTGTTTGCAAAGATTTAATTTCAAGGATATTTAACACAGAGTTATTTATAATAGCAAAACATCTACAAATAGGGGATTTAATGAATAAATGATCACATACTGCAATATTATGTAGCCATTAAAATAAATGTTATGAAATATTAAACAAAAGCAGGTTATAATAATATATTCATATTAATCCCATTTTTGTTTAAATATATGAGCTAGTATCTTTAAGATAACATACACAAGTCCAGAAAGAAAATACATCAACATTTTAAGAATGGTTTTATCAGGGTGCTGGATTTACTGCTAATATTTCTTTACTTTCAAATTTACTCGCAGTGATTATGTTTAAGAAAAGATTTTGTTTTATTTTGTTTTTTAAATGGTAATGCAACCTTGCACACAGGTGATTGACATTATAATGAGAGGATCGGGGTTATGACACATTGCAGAACTAAGATCTTCAGGGCCATGCTGGCATTGGAAAAAGCCAGAAATAAGCTGAATGTCCTGAGCCCAGTGGGAAAGTCAGGAGAAGCTGCTGTTGTGAGTGGGGCATTGGGTATTGATCATGTTGAATTTGATGTATGAAGAGAGATGCAGGTGCAAATGTCTAGCATGTTGGTGGTGGTATCAGAGACCAACCTTGGCCTAGTTGGGAAAACATAAAGGGGCAGTTGCAAAGTAGCTAAAACAAGACTACCTCAAAGCGTCTCTTTGGTGTTATGAATGTAAACTTACTGATATTGGTGACATTCCCTGTGGGCAATAGGTAAAACCCACTGATGGCCTGTGAAAGACTCAGGCTTAGTTTTGATGACCAAACAGCAGAGAGAAACAGAGGCAGTTTCCTTTGAGTTGCCTTTTTCTCATTTTCCTCACTTGAGTTTGGAGCTCCCAGTCCTGTGGTCATGAGCAGCCCTTGGTGCCCTCTGCCACATTGAGGCCATTTACCCGAAGTCTACGAATGTTCCCGTTTGAACGGCTGGATCCGTTTCAGGAGAGCTGATAGCACAGGAACATCCACATTCTCAGAGACACGGTTCTTGCCCATGTCTTTATGTGCGTTGATTTACCTAAGAGATCACCAGAAATGCAGAGAAACACACCCGGGCCGTGCATATATGCACTGGGACCCACCTATAAGCAGAAAATGGCCCAACCTGTAAAATATAAAGGAGGGCTACCGTAAGGTACAACGTGGCCTCAAGATAATAAGATTAGCTAAAGCCATTTTTCTTCCATTTAATCTCCATAAAGATAAATTTGTTTTTTTGAGAGAAAAAGATTGCTTACCTCCCCACACAGTGTCCCCCTGAGAGCGCTCCCTAATGAATTCCTGAATGGTAAGCTCCTCTGAGCCAGCTTCCCAGGCAACCCAGCCAGGGAAGGAAGTGTGAACGAAGATGAAGATATATATAAATTTGGGAAGGAAGGATTTCAGACCTGATATGTTCTGTTTTCTTCAGTAAAATTGGAGACAAGGTCATTTCAGAAGAGAAAGGGATGCCCCCTGGCCAGTGTGGCTCAGCCAATTGCAGCGTCATCTGTACAACAAAAGGTGTCGCGTTCAGTTCCTGGCCAGGGCACATATCTAGGTTGCAGGTTTCATTCCCAGGTTGGGGTTGGGGCTCGTGCGGGAGGCAACCGATTGATGTTTCTCTCTCTCTCTCCCTTCCTCTCTCTAAAATCAGTTAAGTAAGGGATGCACTCTAATCCTTGCAGTGTTGTAGTGTTAGAGGAAAATTAAAAAGAACTCACCTTCCAGCAGTGGGTAAATGGCTGAGTAAATTCTGACATATCATTTGGACAAAATATGTAATTAAGAAAACGATGTGTCAACATAGAAACATTGTGGCTCAGTGGGAATGAGGAGACTCAAATCTACAGAAGAGGTTTGAAACTGGTTTAGAAAAGCCACCGAGGGTTAGGGTCTGCCCAGTAGCCTGATGTTCCCATTCAGCTAGTCGTGTGATTATTGCCAGTAATTTTGACATGGAAGCAGCAACGAAGACAAAAAAAACCCAAAATTAATACAGTAAGAAAAACAATGTAGTCAAGAGAGAGGGTGTAGTTATAGTGGTTCAGGGCCTAGATGCTATAATCAGGGTCTGGAGTTCAAATCCTGGAACCCGCATTTAAGAATTAAAGGTGGGGCTGACTTCTCAGGTGTGCAAGAATGCCATTCAGAGTCCTGGTCTCTGAATGGTCTTGTGTTCTGGTTAAAAGCCCTGCTGACACTGTCTTGAAATTCTTATTTATCTTCAAACATGTGTTAAGTCTGATGGGACAATGAGACATGCATGTGAGCAGAGGACATGTGCACATGTGTGCGGCCCTCCTTACTTACTGCCTCACTTGCATATAAAAAATGATTTATTCTTTTTTGAAATGCCATTATTGATTTTACAATTAAGCTTTAAATCTTTGGAGGTATTCAAATGAGAAAATATATATAGTTCCCACCATATAATCAGTGCTCAGAAAGGTTTAGTTCTTCTGTGTTTAAAGCTATGAGTTCTTTAAATCTACTGAATTAATTTACAAATGATTGAAAGCATGTCTTATGCCCCTCATTGATTCCAGATTCCTAAATAGAGATATCATCTCTTGGGAAGGCTCCCACCAGGGAATTTTCAGTTGGGCAAGCTCATTGATTTAGAAAAAACAAAAACAAATAAACAACCCTCTTCCCCCCAAAACACACCAGTTTCTGCAAAGAGATTTAAATGCACACATATAAAAGCCAGTTTTTACAATACTGTTTCATTCCTGACCAGCATTTTATGTGCATTATATTGATTCTTTGATCTTATTGTCAGGGCACTTAATTTCTCTCTGCTTTGGTTTTAATAACTAGACTGATACTTGACACGTTTCTTTCCCAAGGGGCAATTTATAACTATTAATTGGTTTGTAAAATGCCTTTTGAACCGCTGAGATGAAAGGCCTTATATAAATAGCAAATGTTACTTATGTTGTTGTTGTTGATGACGATTTCATTATGTGTATTTTGGTTACTTGCTACTGTCTTTTAAGACATAGACCTGCATTTTAAAATTTTAAGATGTTTCCTTTCAACACAGAACATAACCATACATTTAACATCCAGAGGTGATTTAGTTTCTTTATCAAACAACAATTCCTCTTAAAACCTAGAACTCTGGGAAAGGAATACTTGTCTATGTATAACACTTCTGACTTGACTTGTTGGCATCTCAGTAAAATTACCCAAGAAATTCTCAAGGTTCAAAGCACCCAGGCACAGTAATAAAGCTAATTTCAAAGCTGACTTCTCATCGACCACCTAGAAGACTGCTGGTTTTTCACTGCTAGGAGATTGAGTGTCTTATTTTTTAATTTTTTTATTTTCTTCTTTTAATCCTCACCCAAGGATATCTTTTCCATTACTTTTCAGAGAGAGTGAAAGAGACAGAGAGAGAGAGAGAGAAAAACATCGATGTGAGAGAGGCACATCGACTGGTTGCCTCTAGCACCGGCCCCGACTGGGCTGGGGGTCAAGCCTGCAACCGAAGTACGTGCCCTTGACTGGAATCGAACCTGAGACCCTTCAGTCTGAGGGCCAATGCTCTAACCACTGAGCACAACTGGCTAGGACAAGTCTCTTATTTTTAACTTTTCTTTAGATAGAGTGAATTTCAACCAGGGGCAGTTTGCCACCCCAAGAGACATTTGTCAGTGTCTGACATTTTGGTTGCCTCAATTTGGAGGATGCTACTGGCATCTGGTAGATAAGACCCCAGGATACTGGCAAATATTGTACAATGCACAGGACAGCCCCCATCACACACAACAGAGTTATATGGCCCAAAAAGTCAACAGTGTCCAAGTTGAGAATTTCAGATACATTCAGTGTAAAACTTCCTTAATTCATCTTCACCAACCAGGGTTTCTCCTCGGTCTGTTGCATATTGTTTTTTCCTAATCTTGCCTGGATCTCTTTACAGGTTGGCATTGTGGGAAGAACAGGAGCTGGAAAAAGTTCCCTCATCTCAGCCCTTTTTAGATTGTCAGAACCTGAAGGTAAAATTTGGATTGATAAGATCTTGACAACTGAAATTGGACTTCACGATTTAAGGAAGAAAATGTCAATCATACCTCAGGTATGCAAGTCAGAGCATTCTCACATGTTCTTTTTATAAGGGTGCCCAAGTTTAATTGCTTTTAATTTTATTGCTTTTTAAAAGTGAATTAAAGGGGTGATCTATTCCCCCTGGTAGAGCATATTTTTAACAGCAGGTATTTTCAACTGATATCTTCATCAGATGCCAGGTTTTGTTTGTTCATTTGTTTGTTCATTTGTTTTGTGTGTGAGTGTGTGTGTGAGAGGGAGGGAGGGAGGGAAGGAGGGAAGGAGGGAGGGAGATAGATTTAAAAATTTACCTAGATAGATTTCTGGACTCAAACTTCCTCAAGTATTCAATCTTATCCACTGATAACAACATAATTTTAAGAACAAAATGGTAAATGGTTTGTTTAGCACTTGAGGAATTTCTGTAGGAAAACATAGATTTTAAGTGACTTAAAGATAGAATTTTGCTATAGGAAAAAAAGCTACCTTTTCAAAGATGTTATATCCATGGAGGCTTTTCTCTGAAACCAGGGGGCTTTGGGAATTTTGGAGTGCATCGGTGCTTTGGGGAGACTTATAGAACTCTACCCATTAGTGAATGATACAGACCAAGGAGGCAGTACAGAGTAGTGAGGAAGGACGCGAGACGAGGAATTCCATCTCCCTCCTCCTCAGCTTCCTCTCCAATACAAGGCAGCCAGCAATACCAGCTCCCAGAGCTGTTGTGAGGACTGAATAAATAAGTGCCTGGGGAGTGGTTCACCTGCTGTAGTGGTGGAGGGTTGAACTCACCGCCTCTTCCAGTGCTCTAATTATTTTTTTAACTCTACTTCTTAATAGAAGTATGACCCTCAGGAAGCGTTCTAGAGATTGGGTTATATGCACAATAAGAGCTCCTGTCATTTCTGTGGTTCATCCACTCAACATAAATTTAGAGAACATTTATTGAGCAATTACTATCTTCCAGGTATATGGCCAAGGGCAACATAGGCCCTGCACTCACTGGCCTGAGGCCTCACATCTTCCATCCTGCCCTATGCTTTTACACTTACACATTTTCAGCTTTATACCTGCTGATTATTTTAAAATTTAGGGCCTTTTGTTTTGTTTTACACTCTATGTAATTATCTAGTCATCAAAGGAAGCTGAGAAAACACATACCCTCTTGAGGTGAGAAACGCAAAGAAGAGACGAGACAAAAAGAGCCAGGCAAATGTGCTTCCTGTATGTGGATATAAAGACCTCTTAAATGCCTGTTTATTAGGAAGCATATACGACACAGTACCCCAGGAGGAGAATTTGGACTTGGACCTTAGGACCGAGCACAGCCATTGCTACCTACTGCTGACCTCCAAAATGATTGGAATTACTCTAAGTAATTTTGAAATGTAGATATTCTTCAGAACCACAATCAGATGCCAATTTATACCAATTAGGTTGACTAGTACTTAAAAACAACAGAAAATAACAAGTGTTGGAACCCTTGTGCGTGGCTGGTGGGAATGTAAAATGGTACAGCCACTGTGGAAAGCAGGATGGAGGTTCCTCAAAAAATTAAAAATAGACTTATAATATGATCCAGCAATTCTGCTTCTGAATTTAAGCCCAAAAGAATTGAAAGCAGGGTCTTGAAGAGATATCTGTACACCCACGTGTTCCTCAAAATAGCAAAAATGTAGATGCACCCCACGTGTTCATTGATAGATGAATGGATAAATGAAATGTGGGATATCCATACAGTGGAATATAATTCAGCCTTCAAAAGGAAAGAACTTTGTACACATGGTACAATATAGATGAACCTTGAGGACATTATAAGTGAAATAAGCCAGTCACCAAAGGGTAATATTGTATGATTCCATTTATATGAGGTACCTAAAGTAATCAAATTCATAGAGAATGGTGTTTCCTGGGGGCTTTGAGGCGGAAGAGAATGGGGAGATGTTTAATGAGTCCAGTTTCAGTTTTGGTGATGGTTGTTCAACAGTGTTCTTAAGCCCTCTGAACAGTACTCTTAAAAGTGGTTAAGGCAGTAAATTTTATGTGTATTTACCAGAATGTTTTTTAATTATTTTAAACATATCCCTTTCAGGAAAAATGGAAAGAAATTTTTAGCACATAAAGTCCTTGTATTGAAAGATTCCCTCTGGCTGTTAGATTCATGACTTAGGGATCACAGTATAAACACGAGTTTAAATTCCCAAGTTTTATATTTTGGTTGTACCCATCTCTGAAATGGGCCAAAGAGATTTACTTAGCAGAAATAATGGGCATGTCTGTCTGTAAAGTACTTTCATATCTTTGGATGAAAGGCCCTAGAAATGTGTCCTCTGTTACTTTTAATGCTTCTTCATAAGAAATGGTTGTATGCTTGTGTACATAAAAGAACTGTATAAATAAAGAAATAACGTTAGATGATTCTTGGCTCTTCCACTAATGTTTTGGAAGCACATCTGAGCAAAGACTAAATATACCTTGACATCACCAGGTCTTGGTTCTGTTCCATCAGTTTCCACCCTGCTTTTGAGCATGCTCTATATACATACTCCAGAGAGCGTGCTTGCAAAACAGGGCTGAGCTTTGTATCCATGCAGATAACCATCACCAACCATTGTAAACACAGAACCTTCATTTTTTTCACTTTATATGCCTTTGTCTCCAAGGCACAGTGTTTGTTGATTAAAGAGAGTCAGGAGAGACAGTTCAGTGTGTCAAGGGCCCCAGAAAATCATTCAGGAGGTAGCCAGGGGTAGAATCTTCAAGCTCGGAGACCTAGTATCAGCGCAGTCCGGCTCCGCCTCATAGGAGTGTGTGACCTTGATGAAGTCGCAAGGCCTCCAAGCTCCAGGTTCCTCGTCCTTAAACCAGGTCTAGTAATTACTGCCTTGCAGATTTGTTGTGAAGATTTAACCAATGAGAAAATGTTTGTGGCCCCATGCCTGGTTCTTAGGAATACTCAGTAAATAGTAACTGATTATTAAGGATTGGGGCACTGGCCTTTCTAGTATTATTGTCACTTAAGTAAAAATACTACAACACTCTGGATGGACTTTGCTGCTTACTTTCTACTGATGGGTTGGTGGTCCTTGGTGACTTTTCTTTACACTGATGATAACATAAACCAAATTGTTTATATAAGTTTAAAGAGTAAAGCAAAAAAAGGAAAATTATATAAAAATTTTATGTACATTTAAAGAGTGAAGCAAAAAATAAGAAGAAAAGAAAAGGAGTTCTAGTGTAAGGAGAAACCTATCCAATGCTTGTCCCACAGGCAACACAGGCAAGAATATCACTTGGTTTTATCTTTGTTTTCTGGCTGCCCTCCCACCCAGGATTCTTTCCTGACCACTGCTCCGAACCCCACTAATACATTACAGACCCCCATGAAGAGCCCTGACATTTTTCTCCACCCTCTCCACATTCCCATCTACTTTCTACCTCTCCTTGAGGGTGGGCCGTGTCTCATTTTCATTGCTACACTACTTGTTGCAGTTCCTGACAAGGTCCACAAGTAGTAATAATAATTCCTAGCATTTGTGGACAAGAGTTTTAACCCCTTTCCTTATCTCACAGATTGAAAAACGGAGGCACAGTGAACTTAACCTACTCACCAAGTAAGCAGCAGAGCCAGGATTCAAATTTAATTTCGGGGGTTTCCCAACTCCTGCCTGTGGGCCTGACCACTCCGCCAGGGACTCGAACATGCTGTTGATTGAATGTGATCCACAGTAGAACTGTGACGTATCATTTTGTGCGTACACACACACACACACACACACACACACACACACTTCACAAAACAACATTACTCTGCGCTCTGCACTCTATTTTCTATTATATTCACTCTATGCTCCTTTATATAAAAGACGAAATGGTGATCATGAGGCACAAAATTGATTTCATGACCCATTGGTTTCACATGCAGTTTGAAAAACACTGCCTCTCACTGTCCCCCTGTTCGATTGGGCTCCAGATACATGATAATGCCTCACTAGGAGCTTCAGGTATGTTCTGGGTCCTTGCAGCATTCCTGCAAGGTTAGCCCCACTTCCAGGAAGGAACTGGGGCGTGGGGAGGTGAGTATCCGACCCTGGGTCAAACAGCTAATATGCAGTAGAATCAGAACTCAGGTCTGTCCAACTCCAAATCTCGCTATTTTTTTCAGTAGATGCTCATTGAACTGAATGTTCTAATCAGATATTTTATTCATTTTTCCTACCACACCACTAAAAAAAAAATTCCCCCAAACCATAACAAGAAAAATGAATAAATATACTGTAGAGCAAAATTAAAAGATATTTCTCCTGTGCTATGTCCCTCATTTGGACAGTTTAGTGGTTTTGAAAAGCTGAGCTGTTTACTTTTGCCAACAAACTCAAGTCACACCACTGAAAGAAAATCAATTCAGAAGTGGGTTTACTCACTAATTTGTCATGCGCCAGTAAGTGTCTGGAGAAGACACTCAGAGTCTTACCTTGCCAGAGCTGAGAACCCTTTCTCTGCTGTGTCTCACGGGCTGCAGAGGTGGAGAAGTCTGTTGGCCTGGCTACTTGGTTACTTGTCTGTACTGCAGGAAACTTACATTTCTCTTCCCCACAAATGTAGGAAGCTGTGTTGCTTGTGTCTCAACACCGCAATTTAGGGAACCTGAGTTGTTTAGAGCAGACTTTGGGAAGGGGGAACTCAGTGCTCTTTACTCCTTTACAGATTTGGTGAACTAGGGCCACATCGTCTTCCCTGGCTCCCCACTTGCTGATCTGGGTGCAGCAGGGAGCTGCTCTGGTGGTCTCCCTCTTCCAGGCTTATCCCTGTCACTCTCAACCCTACCACGATCAAGTCAGAATTGGGAGAGATGTGACTGCAGCAAAGACCTACATAGGGACAGAGGCAAGGGAGTGGTGGTATACACAGTGGGGCTAGTCCCGGAGGGAACTTTCAGAAACAAAGACTGTATTCTTAAAAATATACACCTCAGTTTGTGTTCAGAATTTTAGGAATAGCAAGTAAATGAAAACACTTCCAAAAAAATTTTCTTAAACAGAGCAGGTAGCTGAAATGTAGGCGTCCTTTGTACTCAGGACCCTAAATAGTTAAAATATGTTCCCCAAAGAGAACACCAACGTGAGATTATATTCAGAGAGTTGCTTGCTTATCTGAAAGATCTGGAAAAACGGATTTCAAAACTTCTTTGGATGGATTCTCTACACCTAGAGCCCCTATCCTATGGGCATAAAGAAAATGTTTTCATTTGAAGAGGGATTCCATGCAAATGCAGCATTTATGATTGCACCCCAAGGGTTGGCACAGATCAACAGCTATTATCTTTATATGATGAAACATATTCATTTTTTATATTTATTTGACTTCTTAAAATCAAAGCAAAACATAGGTAATTTTTAAACAGTCCACTCTGCTCTTTTGGTATTTCCATTCCCTGGGTCGTCTGCAGCAGGTTGGAAAAGGTTTACCAGAGCTGTCTCTTTAAGACTTCTTTATTACCTGCTTTTCTTTCCCTTTTTTTTCTTGTTGAGAACAAAACTCAAAGAGAGAAGAGGTGGGTATGCTGTTACTAGTAAAGAAATACAACTGGACCCCAGCCTAATGCAGTCGGGCCTTTGTTTCTGACACTGAAGTCTTCATTAAGGCCCTGGAACGGCTCCCCGGAGCTCCTGACCTTTTTGTATGGAAAGAGGACTTTACACGACTTAAATTCTTTTTCCTTTGTTGGTGAACAAAGTTCTTTTCTTCTGAATATGGATGATGATCGGTTCATTCGGAGGCTACAGGACTAAAAAAAAAAAAGAAGAAGGAAACCAAGATATAAAGCAACTCCAGGTGATTCCCTCAGTCTTGAAGCAGGGAGCCAAGCTGCCCTTAATAAAGGTCCTCAGATTAGAAATGAAAACGCAGCTCTTGGGACTTGAAGGAACAGGGGCAGCAGCCGCTCCTGAGGATGTGTTTTAGTAGAGGGCACTTTCCTGGTTTGGAACTGAACCGATGAGTGCTTTAAAGTGTTGTGCTTTATCTGCTGAGTTTGTAACCACTTGTACGGGTTTTGTCTTGGTCCCGGGTCGTTTTAAGTATCTGAAGGTTAGTGGGTAGGGTTTCTTTTTAGGATAATGAGAGGCTTGTCCTCCAGTGGTGTGTCCAAAAGGTCTGGTAAGACTGTAGTTTTCCGTCTTGCAGTTGTGTGGAGGGATTATCAATTTACTACACTCAGTGCTTTGATTCACGATGGCCACTTTGGGGTCACACACCTAATATGAACTTGTGTTATGTTACTAACAAAGGAAAAATTTACTACTGAATGTGGCACAGAAGATTAAAAAAAAAATAAAAAAATGTACCCTTTAAACCAAGGTGAAAAACAGGTTTGATACTAATGCGTTTAAAATATTACATTGAACAAGAGCATTTCTTTTTCTAGTTGTACTGTGCCAGCTGACTCTGATTAAATAAGGTTTAATTGTGTACCTTCAGAAAAAAATACAGTGCTTAGGCTAATAAATTTAGTATATATTCACATGCCGGTTGTGTGTCCTACCATAAACGTCCATACTAAAATGTTCTGCCCGCAAACATTTTATAACACTTATTTATAAGATTGGTTTATTAACTTCATTGCTTGGAGGTGGGCACTTTAAGTCATATCTATCAGAAGTGATCATTAATTTGACCCTTATTGGCTCTTGCAGCAGTGTCTGTTGTGAGCACTTTCATTACCTTTTGGTTTCTTATTTGGCAAGTGGACGAGAGCAGAATGAGTGGAAACTGAAACACTGTGCACAAAGCACACTGGCATAGCAAAGCAGACATTGTTAACAAATTGCCTGCTGGTGTTAAGGGAAAAATATAGCTTTAATCAGTTAATGTTTTAATAAATCATTCTTTTTATTCAACAAGTTTTGATTGAATTTTTCCTCATTTTGAAAAATATATTTGGCATGTCTTAATGAAGAGAAAATGTTCTTATTTACAAAACTATTTTCTTCTCTCGTACCGCTAAGTAAACACGAGTAATTGCCTAATATATTCTTTTAGATTGACAGTACCCTTTGGCATTGGAAAATGCTTAAACTTAGTTTCTTTCTTTTTATGACATTCAGCAGCGATTGGTGATAATTAGCAGACCCTCCTTAAGGCCAACAGAGTATCTGAGGATTCTGTTTGAAGCTCAGAGTAAAGCAGCTGCAGGTGTTGGTCAGGGGCTGAGTGGGCAACTCCTGTTTCTCCAAAGAATCCCATTTTAATTCCCCAGTCTTTGGAGAGATTCATCCACTTCAAGGAGTTTACTAAAGAGAAGACGGTGAGGGAAGTGACAACAGAGAGGCCCTGATTATGAAACAGATGATTGAACTTTCCATGTGTGTCCCTGTGCCTGTTCTGAAGCACCAGAACCCCCAAATGTGCTAGTATTGGGAGTCCTGTCTTCACATAACGAAGGAAGAAAGGTCTATCTTTTAGAAACAAAGCAAATTTTTTTGTAGTTAGCTTAGGTAATGCCTCTGTAGAGTGTACTTTAAAAGCCAGGTAGACACTTTATCCAACACTAGACCTCTCCCCGATGTGACTGATCTTTGGGAGGGAAACCCAAGGAAAAGATTTTCAGGTCCTATAAGCTGAGATGGACAAGTAAACGGTCCTGTCATTAATGTAAGCAAAGAGCCCACCTGTCATTTTGCCCAGTGGGCTCAAAGCGGATTCCTTACCCTGTCCCCTTTCAGCCCTTTTATCTCCTCAAACGCCAGTCCTCAAAGAGTCTCTCGGTTTGGGCTCCAGAATGGAACACCGCTTATAGTTTAGAGCCTGTGGAGTAAGTGGGAGGAAAGCCAGAGGAGAACGGGGAATAATGGGGACCAGCCTCCCCTCGCCTGGCCCATCGTTTCTATAAACCTCATGGAAACAACTGAAGGACGAGAAACCGCCCAGGTTGTTGAAATCTTACCATTGATAATTACATAAAATAAGAAAAGCTTCTTTTTTCCTTTAAATCTAAAGTAGAATGATGGTCATTCCCCTGACAGGGAGCTGTTGCCATTGCTTAGATGGTTTAGTCCTTGATCCTAAATTTTGGTAGTTTTAAGGGAGACGTTAAATTTGGGTCTCTGAATTTTTTCAGTTCTATTCAGTAATCATTTAGAAATGTTACATGACCAGTGATTTTTAGTGCTTTGTGGCATATTAGCCACTTTGTCAACTTTGTTCAAATAAAGTGTTCCTTTTAACATCTTTCGAAAAAAAATATTTCTATTGATGTTTAGAGAGAGAGGAAGGAAGAGGGAGAGGAACGTCGATGTGAGAGCGGAACATTGATCAGTTGCCACCTGCACGCCCCCCCGCCAGGGATTAAGCCTGTAACCCAGCCATGTACCCTGACCAGGAATCAAACTGGCAACCTTTCAGTGCATGGGATGGCGCCCAACCAACTGAGCCACACCTGCCAGGGCTTACCGTCTTTTTAATTTAGGATCTTGCTTAGGGATACATGCATGGCTTTTGCTGGCACACCATCTGTCTTCTGCATCCATTTTTCCCTCACCAGTCTTGAAACTGAGACAATAGGGAAAGGAGGTATGGGAGGCTCTCTGAGTGTCATCCTTCTTCATGGCTAGAGAAAAATCGACCTTCTCAGTCTTTCTCCTCAGGCTTTTGAGAAGTGAAGAGGAATGGTCTAGCCCCAAGGCCAGGCCAGACTTGATGCTGGTGATTCCCTTGAGTCCAGCACTGGTAGAAAAGTCCAGTCTCCTCTTGTTCCCATAGCTGTGCATCTCATTGCTCTACCACCTTGATTGAAAGTGGACAATTGGGCTCTTTTCTGCTGCCCATATTCTTGGGGCCTGGGTTACTAGAGGCACTTAAAAGAAAACTTAAATGGTCTACTTATGCTCGGGTACAAGATTCTCTCTTGAAACCCAGAAGGAGGCATATATTTCGAGAGAAATTTAATTGTGGTTCCTCCCGAAGCAGATGAATAGGAAGAGCTATTTAAATGAAAATAATTTCATTATGACACATGTCACAATGGGTTTCAGGTTATCCAGCCCTTGCAGTTAATAATGAAGTTCTGTGAGTCATGAAATCCTGATGCACAGACAGGATAACATGGGGATTAGCTGATGCAAATCAGAGGCTCTCTTCATGAATAGAGGTGCCACTGGCCCCAATAGTTTACCTTCTCTTTGGACAAAAACCAGGTTTTCCCATTCAGACAGGTGGAGAGATTCCCAATCCTGGAAGATTGTTTTACCAGTAGAGAAAATATCCTAGTTTATTATTCGGTGCAAATGTGAAAATATTTAAGTTTTGCTTTGAGGCACAAATTTCAATTAATCATGCTCTTGGTATTTTTCCAGCATCACACCAAGATTTACAATTAATTTTTATAGCTCTCTTGATGTAACCTCAAAAAATTTATATCCTTGTTTTTTTCTGCTTGAGCAGAGATCACTCACTATCAGAAAGGCATTTTTAAAAATCAAACCTTCCTTTTCCAGTTTCTTCTTAAGATGACACATTTGAACAGTTTCTTTTGTTAGTATTCAGTGGGCCAGAAGATATTTTGGACTGCACTCTGTACAATGGAAAATTAATAGAGATTGTTCTGTAAACAAGTATTTGCAACCTTTTAACTCATGATTATAGTGAATTTTGGTTTTTTGAATTTTTAATTCTGTTCTGAAAGTTAGCATTGGAATAAAAAGAAAAGAGGCTACAGTAATAATATTCTCTATTTTTCGGTATTTAGGAACCTGTTTTATTCACTGGAACGATGAGGAAAAATCTGGATCCCTTTAATGAGCATACGGATGAGGAGCTGTGGAATGCCTTAAAAGAGGTAATTTATAACACATAATTAACTTGTTAGCATTAGTGTATGTGCATTTATAGCATTGCAGGTAATTAAGGGGGAACTTTTTTATAATCCTCCCCTAGGGCATGTTTCCATTGATTTTAGAGAGAGAGGAACTAAGAGAGAGAGGGAAAGAGAGAGAGAGGGAAAGAGAAACGTCAACGCCAGGGAGAAATATCGATTGGTTGCCTCCTGCATGCTCCTCAACCAGGGGTCAAACCCGCAACTTAGGTGTGTTGCGGAATGGAACCCGCCAACTTTTTGTGTATGGAGCGACACTCCAACTAACTGAGCCACACCAGCCAGGGCAGAGGGGAACTTTTTGTTTACCTGACTTTATATTCACCACCTGGGAGAACATTGAGGACATGGATACATTTAAAATGTGTATATTGATGATGATGGAAGTGAAAAATACAGCACCTCATGCTCATTTTAACTTTTTTCCTAGAACCCAAAGCAACTAGACACACCACAAAGCTCTAAACTAGAAGTTATAATTATGCGTTCAAATTCTACCAGAGGCCTAGTAGCTAACATTCATTTTACTCTTAGGGAACATCTACTAAGTGGAGACAATAATAATTTTTCAGTATTAGCTAAAAGATAAATGAGGTCATAGTAATAAAATACTTTTAAGTTTTATAAAAATGTGTTTATAAAGGTAAATTATTCAGTTAGAATGTGATAATTATTTATGGGCAAACATGTTTTAATGCTTCACAGCAAATGCAGATAAGAAAACCTTGGAGCTTTTGCTACGTTTTTATACCAATACGTTCATTTCTAGAGTATTTTCTATTATTCGTATAGTGCCTTCCTTTAGACCACTTCTTGGAATTTCCTCTTCCTTGCATGAAAAGATTATGACTGTTAAGGTGCTATTAATTTGTATTTTTTATTTTTTTACTATTTTGCTCACAGAATTTTTATTTGCATTGAAAGATATTTAAAAAACATTAGGTAATTTCAAATTTTATATACAACTTTTATCAGCATCTTTATTCAGCTTGTTGGTTAGATTTTTCTTGACTATAATTATATCAGATTAAACATTTGAAATGCACTTCACTTTTTTTCTAATTATGCTAGTTATATATCACATAGAAGTGAAAACTTGTGAAGTTTTATGGAAAGGGATGGGAAGTTGGTGATGCTGAGTGGCATTTAATAAAACCCAATGCAAGATTATTAAAACATTGAAAAATCATTTACTCCTATTTTCACAGGCCTGTTGTGTTGCATCTTTTAATACTAATTATTTTGTATATTCACCCTAGTTCTACAAATTGATTTTGAGCTACTGGGTGGCAGAACCACATGTAGACCTGTAAACCATAGACAGACTTCTCATCCCTCATAGGACCTAGCTCAGTCTTTTGCTTTTAAAAAGTGAGCACTTTAATACACATGTTCTGAATGTTTATTAACATTCCCTTCACTTCAGAGAAGTGTGGCTCATTTCTTGCACACACACACGACCTCACATGTTCTTATTTTGAATCTGCATTTGCCATTTCATGTCAGCCTTCCAGGGATAGTTCTAAAATCTTTAATTTATAGATGAGCTTTGACTGTGAGCAAGCAGAGTTGGATGCCCGACAGTTTCCTGCCAGTAATTCTGGTTTCTGAAGGCATGTCGGCACTGAGTCTTCACACACCCACCCTGCTTTCCAGCAACTGTAGGGACCTTATTCCCCTAATCGGGCTCACCACTTCGCCTTCTCCATGAAAAGCAGTGGACCTCTGATTTCATTTGAATTGGAGAGTCTTTCTCCAGTGAAATTCTTGAAGAGAAGAGGTGGGGAGAGCAATTAACCATCAAATAAAAAGAAACGTAGGACGATCCCTGCTCTTGAACTCTCAGGGCACATTTAGTGGTGAATTTGTGACACACCTTTAAAAACAGGAATTACTGGTAAATGATTTTTCTATGTATTTTAGAGCTTGAGATCTGTCTTCACAGATTCTCAGATAGGAAAATTATTCTAGAAACACATTGTTCCACAGACAGTGAAGAAATGTTAATTGGCAGACAAATCCTTTCAAAAACTTAGAACTTCGCTGTGGCTTACTTCGTCTGTAGGAATCAAAATAAAAATAAAAATTAGTAGCCTCTCAGAATTCTAAAAATGATGGCATGGTGGAAGTGGTAGATAATACTAAGATCTGCCTTTATTTAAGCTACACTTGGAACCCCCTGTGAATAAAGATAAACATGAATTTATTTCCCAAAATGAACACAGTGGTTTCCTTGTATTGCTTCTGGAATGGCCCTTGTTGCCTCAGTGATACCTCTTAGTGTGAGAAATCACTCCACATTGTGTTACTCTAGGATTTATTTCTAAATGACTTTTGTGTGTTTATTTTCAACGGAAGAGTTGGTATCCTGATATTTTAGAAAATTTACCAAATCTTTCATTGAAAAACATAGAAAGCCACAAAGTCAAATTTTAGGAGAGCTAAACACCCTGGTCAGCTGGTTTATAAATGATGCCAAACTGGAAATGGGAACCCAAACCCATGTAAAAGAGAAAAATGCCTTTTTTTTTAAGTCCTCTTCATCCTGCCTCCTCCTCCTGTCTCAGTGGAGATGGATGTTCAGAAGGGAGATAGTTCTATAGATGTTGCCCGTCTAATCTGGGTTATTTTTTAAGTGAGGCTGAAAATACATTTCTTCATAGGTCCTGAAAAATAGCCAGCTATAAACTGAAGAAAGTTAATTGAAATTAGTGCTGATTTGGGCACCTAAAAAGAAATGGCAGTTCTATAAATATAAGCAATGGCTAAAGATTAAGCAGTTTATCAGTGAAAGGTCAAAACATATAAAACTGTATTATATATATGCAGATAGGCTCAGTACTGATAAAAGCAAAGAGGAAAAATGCAGCAGAACATGGAGAGAGGCCAGCTAACTGCATTATTAATAACAGGCAATATCTATTGGTCTCTGCTCTGTATCAAGCACTGTTGTAAACTCAACACATACTGACTAATTTTATACTCTAATGATGTTAGGAGGTAGACACCTTTATTATTATTATATTATAGTATAATTTGTAAATTAGGAAGGTAGGATAGGGAAAGTTCAGGAACTTGCCCAGTTGGCAGAGCCAGGTGAGACTCATGCCTAAGCTTCCTGGCCTCTTGGCCCCTATGTTTTATTTTAATTATGCTGTTATCTAATGTTTTCAAATTCAACAGTTGTAACTCGTAGTTACCATGTTATAGTGCCTCAATTTTCTTTTTCTCGGTTCTAAGACTTAATTGTAACATGAATGTGTGGTAATACTAACAGAGGGCCTTCACATTCATGTCATTCTCATAACCATCCCTGATTTGTAAATGAAGACAGAGTCTCAGAACACAGTGTGTGTCTTCTGGAACCATGTCTATTGTTCTCACAACCCTTACTTCTCATCAGGCAGATATGGATGACCTGAAAGATGGTAAAAAAACAGACTAGTGATGAGATGTCATCTAAGCCGGGCAAGTCTGAGATTATTTCTTCAAAGCCAGGGTATCGGTCTTAAGAAAGACCATTTTGCATACACAAGTGTTACCAAAGTCAGCTCAGCACGAAAAGCTCATAAATGCCTTGCCACTGGCATACCTTCTATCAGTTCTATCAGTTCTAGACCTATGAATATGTATCGTAACAAGAATACTCAGTACATACTCTTCCTTGTAATGAAGGAGGTTTGGCTAAGTTGACATCTTTATTTTATAATTTTTAGTACAAGTAATTGCACCACAGTTCAAATCTTACACTTTACATTTTGTATACTTTCATGCTGATGTTAAATACCAATATCATATTTAATCTTAACTCAGAATTTCTGTATGTTGGGCGTGGACTTACATCATGAACACAATTCAAGAACACGTTCATAGAAGTGCCTCAGTATTTAGGAAATACCATGAAAACGCTGCCCACTTACCCTTGGTGTTTTGTTATTTGACAATATAATTCTGTGCCCCTGTTTATTGGCCATCACTCATCAATCTGTTAGTTTCTTTCTTTTTTCTTTACCCTCATCCGAAGATATGTTTTCATTTATTTGAGAGAGAGCGGAAGAGAGAGAGAGAAATAAAAACATTGATGTGAGAGAGAAACATTGATTGGGTTGCCTCCTGTATGCGCCCCAACGGGGGATCGAACCTGCAACCTAGGTATGTGTCCTGACTGGGAATCAAACCCACAACCTTTTTGGTGTACAGGACATCAACCAACCAAGCCACCTAGCCAGGGCTCAGTCTGTTAATTTTTTAAATTGAAGTGTATTATTTTAACTCTCAACTACAGCCTGTGTTTTGTTCTTGCTTTATAAAATTTCTCTAAAACAAATATTCATTGAACTGAGCCCTACCATCCTGTTATGTTTCAGGTTATCTTTGGTGAATAAGAGGGTGTTTTTTTTAATTTATAATTACAATTTTTTGAAGATAGATGAATTTAAACACCATCAATCCCCATAGTCTGGAGGAAATAAGATGTTATGTTGTGCCCTGGTTTTCATAAGTTTTCATTCACTGCAAAACATTCATGAGATTAAGGTAAGTGCACTTGACTAGTCTAGCAATATGTGATTAAATTTGGGGAAGAACCATCACCAGAATAGACTCCATATTTACTAATATATGAAGTTCAGTTTGCCAGTGTATGAATTTGTATTTTTTTAAACTTTAAAACCTTCCAGAAGAGCAAGGTACTGATAAAATTATGTCTTTAGCCCTGGCTGGTGTGGCTCAGTTGTTTGGGTGTCGTCCCATGCACTGAAAAGGTCGTTGGTTCGATTCCGGGTCAGGGCACATGCCTGGGTTTCCAGCTCAACCCCAGGTAGGGGGCATGCAGGAGTCAGCCAGTCCATGTTCTGCTCTCACATCAATTCTTCTCTTTCTCCCTCTCCCTTCCTCTATCTCTAAAAATCAATAAAAAATCTTTAGAAATATATATATATATAATAAGATTATATATATATAATAAATATATATAAATATATATATATATATATATAATAAGATTATATATATATATAATCTTTAGAGAGCCATACTTCCTGACATAATTGGTTTTAAATTTTCTGTTTAATGTACTAACTCTTGCAAAATGTATTTTGGGAAATTTGACTCAACCATAAAGGCCTTTTAACTTTTCTGTTTAGATTACATTGGGAGAAATACCTTTATTTTTTGAGAGACTTTCTTAACTAATCCGTGGGCTGGGTTCCTGGTGGATGTCTTGTCGGGATGGGGGACACTAAGATGATTTCTTTTCACCAACTTTATTGCGGTGTGGTTTACATACCAGAAAATTACCCCCATGTAAGTGTGATTCAGTGATTTTGCTAAATTTCTAGTTATACAATCACAACAGTCCAGTTTTAGAGCGTTTCTCTTGCTCCCAGAAGTTCCCTTGTGTTTACTTACAGTTACCCCTCCAGTATCTAGGCAATTCCTATTCTACTTTTTGTCTCTATAAATTCCTGAGGTTAAATTTTAACTAAAAAATTAAGAAGGAACATTTAAAATTTTTTTAAATCTTACTTTAGGAATAATTTTATTTATCATACTATAGATGTCTAAAAGAAATTGACAGGACATGAACAGACTGTGCTTACTGATGGCAACCAAGAAGAATCTTGACTTCCATTAAATTTGTGCCCTTAAGTCAGAATACTTCTGTCCTGAGTTGACTCAACCATCTTTCTCAGTGAACACTAATTGGAAATAACTGTCCCTGTCACATGGCCATACATACAAGATAAGATATGGAAGAAGTCCCAAGAATTTCAAAGCTCTGATATCTAGGGGGCTTCTACTTCAATAGTAGTTTGTTTAGGAAAGCACCATTCTTCTTTCTACATCCACAGGTACAACTTAAAGAAGCCATTGAAGACCTTCCTGGTAAAATGGATACCGAATTAGCAGAATCCGGATCGAACTTCAGTGTCGGACAGAGACAGTTGGTGTGCCTTGCCAGAGCCATTCTCAGGAAAAATCGGATATTGATCATTGACGAGGCAACAGCAAATGTGGATCTCAGGTACAGAGCTGAGATCCATGTAATCTGGAATCCAAATTTTAAATGTGGTAAAATGAGAAACATTTAATGATGGTGAGGAGTTTTTTTAAGTGTTCTCTTTGCCCCAAAGATATCTCTTGATAACATTAATTCTGGTGAGCAGAGGAAAAAACCAAAACATGTTATACGGTGTTAATGGTATTATTAAGCATCCTAAGAGAGATAGATTCCTAAATTCAACTCCTCATAGTTTAAAGCAATTTGGAGGGAAGAATATTTTCCATTTTTTAATGAAAAATGGCAAATTTCTAAATAGACTTTCTACTTAGACTTTAAAGAACAAGATCATGCTTAAAGTATTGATTTTTTAAAACATTATAAAAATGTCATGCGATCTTTTTAAGTCTTAAGTTTGTCTTCACTAAATTAAATTCAACTTCTTTGATTCCAGAACTGATGAGTTAATACAAAAAAAAATCCGTGAGAAATTTGCCCATTGCACTGTGCTAACCATTGCACACAGGTTGAACACCATTATTGACAGTGACAAGATTATGGTAAGATCCTCACCTGTGGAATTCTAGTTATTTGTATTTATGTTCATTTTTCCAATTTACCCTTCCTTGTTAAGCTTGATAGAAATCTACAGTAAGTTCATTTTCTATTAATTTTTCCTCTCATTTTTGACAGTAACTCAAATACTTTACACATTCAGAATATGCTATTAAATAACATGTCCATGAATTTAATATTTTCATACTAAAAGCTTATTTGAATTGTATTTTTATTTAAGATGGCCAACCATGAAAATATCCAAGATATGGCTTCATATTACTGAGTGATAGAATATAGTCATTTTCACTCTGTCACAGTTGTTTCAGCTTTTTGGATTCCCTTAATAAAAAATTTAGCCTTTCATTTAGACTGCCAGGCAGTTGCTGGATAAGGCTGAGAATTTCTCAGCTGTTGGGGCCTTCACAAGCTGTGCTGTCAGAGGGGAGTCTTTGAGAAGAAAGGGCCTAGTCAGAAAAACAAAGTATTTCAACAGAAAGGATTTAATATAGGAAATTTGATACATGGAATAGGAGGGCTGGAAAAGTGAAAGAAAATACTGGGGTAGTAATTTTAGGAAGTAGCTACCATGCCCTAGGACAGCTCTTCAGACTTAGGAACTCGAGGGAGAACCCCTAAAGAGTCAGTGCTCAGAACTCCAAGGAGGGGCCACTGCCCAGCAGCTGGTCATATTTATGGGGGAAGGATCACAATGAAGCTATTTCTTAATATGCTAATAAAAGATGAAGGCTGGAGCCAGGTCCTACTGTGTGTGTGTGGGCGGGGGGGGGGCGGTAGAGGGGCATGGTGGTGAGTCCCACTAGGAGATGTAAACTTGGCCACTTATTTGCACCTGGGTCAGAGCTGGTTTCTCTTGCTGACTCCTTTATAGGGAATGGCAAGATTAGAACTCAGGGGACTTGGGACATGCATTCCCTAGCTTCAGAGTTGAGGAATTGTTCTCTCTGCTCCATCCACCCCAGGTGTAAACCCTACTTTTTATTCTAGAGCCTCTGGTTCCCAATTGGCTTTCAGTTCGGCAAAACACTATACATAATGTTCTTTCTCACACCTTTGATTTTTGAAGCAATTTTTTTTTTTTTTTTTATTTCTTTAGAAATACCTATTTTCTTTCCAGGAAACTAGTGATTTGCCTGTTCTGTTATTTTGGAAGGTTTAAGAATATAAAGACAAGTCAATCAGCTGCAAAGCCTAATGCTTCAGAGGGCGGGTGGCCAGCCTGGGGAGTGGCTGGGGAAGTGACAGATGCTAATGAAGGGCATAACCAACAGTGTTGTCATCCCAAAGTCGTGTAATTGCAAGTGCTTAAGGTGTAATAATTACATTTGGTTGCACTGGTGAATACTTCCGCACAAAGACAGATGGATATGGTTTTGTTTACTGTGAGTAAATCAAACAAAAGGCCTTGTTGGGAAACAACTGCGACCTAATTAATAGCTTTGTTTATGTGTTGACTCTCCAAAGGGATTTACCCAGTTTTGGTTCATTAAATGTCATTAATGTGTTAGGCTTAGAATTCTATTTTACAAAGACATTCTCTCAATTTTAACTTTATTAAGCATGATGTAGTTGTAATGACAGCTAATTTAATCTTCCTCATTTGCTCAGTTGCCACAAAACAGTGGAGCAAGACAGACACATTAGAAATCCTCTTTCTTCTAAGACTCACCACTATCTCTGCATTAAAGACAACGTCTTCCCTGTAGGTTTTAGGATTAGCTGGCAGCTTGTGACCTGTTTTCAGCCAATAGCACAGCTCTTTCCTCACTCCAGTCTTTGTGACACCCTCGGATTCTCCCCAGTAGTGTGAGCAAGAGAAGCACATGAAAATCTGTAGCTGCTCTAACAATATTGTCTCCTGTGCTCAACTTTTTCACTGTCAGTAGTTGGAGAATTCTTTGGGAATGAATTCTGGAGAACCAAAACCAGGGCTCAGAAACTCAGATCCCGCCTCTTCTGTTTATAGGCCATCTTATGGTTTTAGAACCTTTACCCTTTCTTCCCAAACTCAAACCTCTCCTTAGTAGTTTTTTCCCGGAGAAATCAAAACTAGAAACTGTTTAACATACCCACTTGGAAAAGCACAGAAACAACTCAAAGCTTATTGGAGTTTTACTCATTTTATTTTTGATCTTTATGGAACTGAAAAAAAGGCTACATAGCCAAAATAAGGACATTTCAGTAGAGGAAAGCTCCTTCAAAAATAGGCCAAGAGATTTCATTAACAATTTCAGAGAGAAAAATAACTACTGTGAACACAGAAAGCACAGTCTGGGAGGAAAAAAATACTTTCAAGGGGGAGGAGCTTTGGGGGAGCAGCTATGGAGGGCCCTGTGACCTAGTCTTCATCCCCCCAGGTGAGAAGAATGACTTCCATTTCAAGACCTAAGAAAGGATTTTGAGTAATTCTTGCCACAGAGAAAATCACAGGCACCTATTTTACCAATCAAGGGAATCAACTCACGAGGTGGATAACTGCTCCTGAGCCCCTTTGTCACCTGGCAGCCACAAAAGCAGGCATCTAAAACTCAGATATCCCCCACCCCCACTCTCCTTGGTGCTAAGTGGGATCTCCTTTATTGCTGGTCACCTGTGGAAAGCTGTTCCAGGCATCTCTTTCCCATCACCAGGCTTTTCCTCCACCCTGCACTGCCCCCCGCCTCTTCCCGCAGCCACCCCACTATCACTGAGGGCATCCTGCCAATTAAAATGGATTAAATTATTTTGCAATGGGTCCATTTAATTTTTATATCTAGGACAGCTACTTAAAATATTTGCAGATACACAGGCCTGATAAACACATCTTCATTGAGCTTATGTAACTGACTGACTCATCCACCATAATGTATTTTTCTTTAACCTGCTAGAGAGCGGCAAGCAATTTGAGGTTGACGTTCCTGGAGAGATCTGGGGCCAAGGGGTTGCTATCACACTGACTTGAATGTGTGGTTTAGTCTATAGTATAAGCTGGGTTACAGGAAAATGGAGACACAGTGGGAGATTTCAGGAGCCTGTTCTGATAGCTAAGAAGGATGTTAAAATAAAAATTCAAAGCTATACCTCTTTATCTGTACAAAAAGAAAATTGGGAGTTGCATTATGTTTACTTGTTCTAAAAGGCCTAGAATCTTTGATCCAACTAGTAAATGTAAAGGCTCAGGGGGTAAAATGCTCTTTCTGGCCTTGTGTCAGCCTGTTTCCCATGGCAGCTCCCCTAGCACCTGGCGTTAGTCTACGCAGCACTGCCTTCTCTTCTTTCTCTTTACCAATATTTGATATAAATGATAGCATTTCAGGCCTCCATCCTCAACCCTGATCTATCTCTCCCTCACTTTTCCTTTCCCTCTCACCCATAGCCGTCAGCCTGAGACATGTGGTCGTCCAGGTCTGTATCCCTGATCCTGTAATGCCTATATCCTGCTGCTTTAGACAGCTTCACTATTCCACCCTTGATCTCACCCTGTATTCTTGCCACACTACACCACTGGGCAGTCACTCAGCCAAGTCCTGAATTTAGTTTCCTTTACATTTAACTTTCAGCCAGCAAGTATTGGGTGCCTGTTACTTGTCATGTCCAGTGCCAGGGCCTGGAGATGCCACAGTGAACAAGGGAAGCCACATACCCCTGCCCTTAAGGAATTGACATGCTCACCTCCAGCCCTCTTGGCCAATGTTGTTCCCTGAAATGACCATTGTCCACCCCCCGCCCCCATTTCTGTACATTCAAGTCTGTCCATTCCATCAGGTCCAGTTCGCTGCTCTTCTTGAAACTCGTCCTCAGGACCTCTGGCCAGAAATCATCTCTTCTGCTGCTGACCTTGTCGTGCTTTTTTTCTTGCATTATAGACACTTGAGGATTTTACTCTCTCTCTCCTTTCAGGGTAGGCCCCTAAAGCCAGGGGCTGTGACTCACATAGCTCTCTGCCCCCTCCACGGCAGCCTAGCATAGTAGCATGCATACAGTTAAGCGTGCAATAACCATTTGCCCAATAAAGACAAGAATTAATGAAGGTTTACTTAAATTTTCCTCAAATGTGTTTTGGCCATGTGTTACTTGCTCTTTATTAATCCTGATAGTTTAATAAAATTGGTTTTCTGTGAGTATATACCTGGCACACAGTAAATAATTTGAGTCCTGATTATAATAAAATTGCAGTGGAAAGTGCAGGGGAAATGCTTATGTTTATAGGCATATTTTCTTAAATTATAGAAAGTTAACATAAGATAGTATCCATGTGGAAAGATATATCAGAAAATTGAATGTTAAAATTCTCATCTCCCTCATTTTAGTTTTGATAATAAAATTAAATATTTTGCTTTTAATAATAAACTGTCTTTCTCTGGGTACTCACATGGCGAGGAAAGAATGCAGGTTCAGACCTAGATTCGAATCCCAGCTCTGCCATCCACTGATTCTGCAGCCTCGGCCAAGGACTTTAACTGAACTGCTCCTCAGCCTCCATCTCTGGCTATGAGCTTCTTGACAGACTATGTCTGGCTCATCTTTGACTCTCATTCCTAAAACAGTGCTGTGGTATCAGGTGCTTATTCAGTACTTACTGGATGGAAGGGAGGGAGGAAGGAAGGAAGAAAGGAAGGAAGAAATTTTGTGTTGTGTTTGTCTACTCTGTTTTGACAATTAACAGTGGTGACTAAAGCAGGTGGCACAGTGAATGCTCAGCCCTTATCGTTACTTTCCTTTCCAAATTCAAAGGCCGCTGTTTTCATTATGGAGTGATTTTACTGATCTTAAGGCAGCTTATACTTGTGTTACATTGCATATATGTGCCACGGCATCTCATCTCTCAGATCTTGTGAATTCATCCATTTGGGGCTATATTAATGCTGTTCATGATCAGATACTATATTTTGTTTTGATTCCTATATTTTGTTTTATTTTTCATTTTAAAAGTGTTTCTCACAGAAGTTAAAATTTAACTTCTAATTATCAAGCTTATAACAAATTACCACAGTTCTGTCAGCCACCTCCCCCCAACTTGAGAACTCCCCTTATAAAATATAATACACATCCATTAAAGTGCTAATGCTCATAAAGCTCAAAATATTTTGACCAAAATGATCTCACTGTCATTTATATTGTTGATCCTGTTGCTTTTTGAGAGCATTCATTTTTCCTGGCTCTGCCTTTTTGGATATGCGGCAATTCTGAGAATTCCTCATCTCAGTGGCATTCATGTGTTTTCAGACAATAAAATGGAAAGATTTGCTATTCATTCAAATTTGAATAAAGAGGATGTTGACAAGCACTAAATATTAGCATTGCTTCTATTAAAAATTATGTGACATCTTTGTAGCCAGAGAACTCCTTTTTCACCAGCTCTGAAGTAGTGATTCTTAAGTTTACTCGTTGCCTTTGCAGAATATAAAGTTTTTATTGTATGAAGTAATTTGATTCACTTATTTAACTTAGCCTTTAGCATGAGAGAGACATGTATTTTAAAATTGTGTTTTTTTCCTTCATCAGGAGTGGTTTTGCTCTATAAGGCTATGCTTAAGTAAATTATACATTCAGGGCATTAAATGTTCATGCCAAATTATAGGACATTTTAATTATTATGTGGATGTGACAGATTCAATTATTCTTGAACTCTTTTGAGAAAGCTGCCCTTAGCAGTGGTTCATGGTAGTAAACAAAAGATTAACAGGAAAATACCCTTTATAAGAGACCTAATAAATGTTTCCCATTAAATACCATGGGACAGAATTAACTGTAATACCTAGATGTGGAGAAACAACCTGTGTCCCGCTTAGATTTTCAGCATATTCTCTTAAGATAAATTTACTCTAAATATGACCTAAATGAAGAACTAAGTGCCACTTACAATCAGAACTGTTTTCCAAGGTACCTCATTTGGGCCAGTTGTTTCAGACTCTTCTTTCTCTTTCTGAAGCCATTAACCAAAGCCACTAATAAGTAGAAATGCAGAGTAAAGAGCCCCTTCCTCACCCTTTCAGTTTCCCGTGGACATATTAATGAGCGATAAAATGGCTGGAAGGCAGGCAGCTGAAGGAGGGAAGAATCAGGGAAAGATCATTGTGAAAACAGATACTCAGGTCCTCGGCGGTTGAGACGGGGCTGCCCCCGTGTGCTATGCGGGCTGTGATGGTTGGAATTTGGAGCTCAGTTTCTTAATTGCTTCTTTAGTCTTATCCGAAGGGAAAATTGGATTTCTGGAGATTTCTTTTGTGCAGAGCAATTATGCTAAAGCTGCTTAGGTAGCAGCTCTTTCAGCCGGCCTTTCCCTCTCAGAATAATAAACCGCAACCAAAGCCAACTTCAAGGTGCACCTTAATCTCTGCAGCAAGGATTTTGTCCCCTCCTACCAGGTGACATATTCCAGGACCCTAAAGGAACTCCAGAAGTGTTTACTTCTGTTATAGATACTGCTCAATCAAATCAGCTCGGCAATTAATTTGTTGTCAGGTCACTGCTGTCTGATTTGTGTGACATTACCCTACTTTTTAGATAAACTGAATTTGATTTTCTTAAATCAAGAAACTTCCCAACTCTGAATATATGTATAAGTAGCCCTCCGAGCTCAGAGTCTAAGAGCTAAAAGCACTAATGAAAACAACCCAAAATGCCCTTGGCAGAATATAAAATGCCACAGGACTGCTGAGTGTCCATAATCATAGTCTAAAACTCTTGTTTTCTTCCTTTCCTATAACATTATAATAATAAAAGGTCGGGTTAGGCCTTTGTCTGCCTAGTAAAACAGGGTAATCAAACCATTTAAGCACCCGCCAGGCCTACCACCCAAATAGATTCTCTCTATTCTCCCTCTCTTGCCTCTTTCCGAAATATTGTCTGAGTTATAATATGTTGCTGCAAAACATTGTGTGCTAATGGGTTTCTTTCTGCTGATGAACAGGTTTTGGATTCAGGAAGACTGAAAGAATATGATGAGCCCTATGTTTTGCTGCAAAATAAAGAGAGCCTATTTTACAAGATGGTGCAACAACTGGGCAAGGCAGAAGCTGCCGCCCTCACCGAAACAGCAAAACAGGTGAGCGCGCCACGAGGAGTGGTAATTAGAGTCCGTCTCAACCGTTCACTCCTCACAATCTGGCACCAAGGGGTATGGTAACAAGCACTCTGTGCCCTTTTCAATTATAAGCCTCCAGAGACAAAGCTTCGCGGCTCGGTCTTAACAACACGTCCCAGGTTGAAGTCAGGTCTGCGAAGCATCGGCAGGCGTGGTGGGGGTGGGTACGGGATGCGTGTGTGCTCACATGTGCAGGCGTGTGTGCCCGAGAGATTTCAGATTGGGCTTTTCACACATTTGGACTCTGGGCTCAGATCCTCATACAGCAGAGAATACTCACATTTTACAGATCCATTGCATTCCATTCTGACTGGTGCTTGGCACATTTGAGATGCAAATGCTTTCAAGGTACATCGGGAAATTTGAGAGATTGAAGGGGAAAGGGGGAATATTGTTAATTGGGTCTAGAAAGATCTACCAGGGAAATGGTAGGCATGCTCCTGATGATCGACAGTGTAAACCAAAAAGATTGAGAAGAGCAGAGAGACTCAGGTTCTCTGTTGAGCAATTATGGTGACGAGCGAGGAGGATGAGGCTCTGAAGCTTGTGTGCCGGGCACTGATACAGGTCCTTTCATCCTTGTGCCCAGTGAAGGGGCTGGGACTTCGAGAGGGAGGGCAGGTTGCCCGGGGTCCCATAGCTGGCTGAATCATTGGCAGAGCTGGAGTTCAGCCCTAGGTCTAGGGATGACAGAGTCTGTGTTCAGAACTTTTCCCCAGTTCTCATGCTGTGTGTGAATGTAGGGAAGCTCCACTTGGAACACTAGTCTTTCTTATGCTGAAATTCACACAGTGTTTTCATTTACTACATACACTGTCTCCCAGTCAGAGCGTCCCTCATAGGACCTGATGGATCCTTTGGCATCCCCTGTGTACTGTAGTCACAAAAGCAGCCAGGAATCTGACAAACCCTTTGGTTCTTTGACATCAGGCATTTTACATCAAAGAGGTGTGTTCCCACCTACATATCAAAGTCTCCATTGAAAAAATGTGCTATATATTATCAAGGTGTTGGTAATGAGAAAAACCATATAATTGTAGATCGGTCCAGATAATATTAGTTTAACACTCTCATCTTACAGATGAGGAAACTAAGGCCCCTTAGAAGGAAGGTGGTGCTGTATATATAACTAGTGTTACACTGGTTTGTAGCAAACACAGAATCATAAATCTGTTCTTTCAGTAAATATTTTAACTGAAGTGTAACATACATAGAGAAAAGCACATGGGTTATAGAATTAGGAATTTCATCATTCCTGGTCCAGTAATCTTGCCCCTAATTTGACAGTACTAATGGTAAATTACATTCGTATAGTTCTTTACAGTTTATTTTACATAGTTCTCACATACATGATTTCACTTAATCCTCGCGGTGGTTCTTTTTTATCCCACTTCATGGATAGGAGATTGGATCAAGGGCTCACTTAAGGTCACGGAGCTGGTCCATCAGTGGGGAGCAGCAGGGGAGTTGCTGGGTGCAGCCCTGGGTTCTGTGTACTGTGTCCAGTTTTAAAATGCTGTGCCTTGATTCATGTGTTCAAGGTGGGCCAGTCCCTCCAGCTCCCGTGGTGGCAGATTATCACTCTTAGATTTCAGTCCTACACTGGCTCAGGTCACCCCTATGGAAAGACGTAAGGAAATACATGCCTGATTCTCATCCCAGTTGAAGGTCTTCTTGACATTATTTCTTTATACATTTGGTCCTCTTGGGAGAACAAACTGACTGACTGTCAACTATTTAAATATGCAAGCATCAAATATCAGTGCATCATTCAAAAGTGTAACACCAGGAGGATCCGCTAAATCAGCAAGCTTTTCGCTCTAACAGATTAGAATTCCATCGTTTGAAAAGGAAACTCAACATCTGGGAGAAGTTACTTCCAAGTCACGTTTTCTTGACCACATAGTTGCTTTTCTGAAAATATTGGTGCGGGCAAGCTGAATCGCTCTCTAGTGGACCCTTTTAGATGACCGTGAAATTGTAGAGAAAGTACTTTTTAGAGAGATAAAGTTAAAGGGTACCTTAATTTGCTAGGGCTACCATAACGAAGTACCACATAATAAGTCAATTGAACAACAAAATTTATTTCCTCATGGTTCTGGAGGCTGGAATTCTGAGCTCAAGGTGTCGGCAAGGTTGGTTTCCCTAAGACCTCTTTGCTTGGCTTGAGAGAACACATCTCTCTGTGTCTTCACATGGTCTTCCCTCTCCGTATGTCTGTATCCTAATCTCCTCCTCTTATAAGGACACCACTCTTATTAGATTAGGGCCACCAATACGACCTCATTTTAACTTAATTGACCCCATCTCCAAATACAGTTACATTCTGAAGTATCAAAGGGTTAGGACTTCAGCGTGTAAATTTCAAGGGGACACAGTTCAGCCCATAACAGGATGAATGCCTATCGTTCATTCTCTTCCATGATGAAGCAGACCTATGGCTGAGGTTTGTGAAGTTCCTTTGTTCCTAGTATGTAACAGAGGTGCTATTTTATCTATTCATGACATCACCAGATACAACCCAAAAGTTACAAAATCCTAATGTCCTAGATTCTAGGAGCCTAGACCAGTTGGAATAGGTGAAAGAGGCACTTAGTAGTCAAATGGGCTTATATGTCACCCAAGGTCTCTGAGCCTCAGAGCCCTTACCTGTAGTGCAGACCAGCCCTTACCTGCCTCCCCTGTAGCCCTCACCTGCCCAGCTTCTTCACACTGTTATTACAAGGCTCAGATGAGAGAGGCCATGCTTAAGTGCTTTAAAGAATATAGAGTACTTCACAAATACAAAAGAATTCTACCTGTCGATGATAAAAGTTGGATCATTTTTAAAAGGTGGTGGATTGAACCCTTTCCTCTCAGTAATAACAAGAAGTTTCCAAAGTTCTGAGTAGCTTTAGAGACTCTAAATAATTAAAATTTATTTTTAAAAATTAGTTTTTAACGAATAAGACATTTAATGCCACAGAATTCAAAATCTTTTCAATTAGTTGTGTGGGTTTTTTTAATTTAAAAAGAAAAAGTAAGTCACTCTACTACTCCTGTCATCACAGCTCTGCCCCCAGGATGGAGCCCAGGCACCATCGACTGTTCTGTTGATATAGTCTGCAACAACCAGAACTTGTTCATGTATGGACTTTCTGGCTTTTAAGTACAAATGATAGCTGTTCCTTATTTTTTTATTTAATATTATATCTCAGATTATAGCAATGCATATAGTTATCTTATTTTTTTCAATGGCTACACAGTATTTATGCTTTCTCCTTGCCTACTCCCCATTTTTCCTTCTACTTAACTGTTAGAGTTTTATGTTTTTCCCCCAAAGAAGGTGCACTCAGATTTACTTGTTTTTGTATTGTATTTTATAGTTTTGTCAGTTCTGCTTTTATCTTTATTAATTTCTTCCTTCTTTGGTTTATTGTTTACTTCTTGAATACACTTGTTTTCATTCTTTCTTGTTTATTAATATAAATATTCTACAGCTGTGAACTTTTCTTTGGCTATTGTTCTAGCTATATCTTACAGGTTCTGGTGTCTAGTGCTTTTGTCAGAGTTAAGTTTTTAGATCGAGATTCTGCAGTTTGGTTTTGATTTCCTCTTTGGCCCAAGAATTATTTGAGAATGAGGTCTTTAAAATTTTCTGGTGATAGGGGTTTTTATGTTTGTTTCCTATTTTACCATCAGTGTTGATTTTCATTGCCTTGTGATCAAAAAATGTTATCTGTACTGTTTCTATTTAGAATTAATACCTGTTGTATTCTAGTATATAAGCAATTTTTGTGACTATTGTTTGGGCATTTAAAACAATGGACTATTGTCTGCTTAGGGTTGAGAGTTTAATAACTTTTAATTAGACCTACTTCATTAATCGAATTATTTATTTAGGTCCATTTGATATGACTTGGACTTAGAGAGGTGAATTGTAACAAGATCCAATATAGTTCCTGTCACTTCTGTTTTGGTAATTTTGATGTTGTGATTTTCAGTCCACAGATCTTCATGTCTTGGGTTTTCACTATGAATTCTATTCTCTACTATATTTTTTATTTTTCTATTAGTTTAAAGTGCTTTTCTATGATTCATTTAATGCTCTTGACCCTGAATCCAACCTGGTTTAGAACTAAAATTGAGTGCTCCGTTTTCATTTGCCAGGTATGTCTTTGATTGTTTTAATATCAAACTATAGATGTATCTTCTGTTAGTGACAGGTAGTTAGGCTCAGCTCTGAGAATTAATCTTAGCCTTTTTTTTAAACAGATAAGTTTAGTCCATTTACATTTATTGAGATTATAGGTATGTTACACTTTCAGTTTTTAGTGTTGTGTGTTTTTTTAGCCTATTAATTTGTAGCTTGTAATTTTTTTCTCTCATTGCTTTATGTATGGTGGTTGTTTTTTCATTTCTTTTAGGAATACTTTATTTCATTATTTAACTCCCTTGATAAACAATGACAACATATCTTCCTTCTCTTTGTTTTACCACCAAATTTTAGTTGTTTAAAAAGTTTTCCTTCTACTGTTTACCTTCAAATCTTTAAAAAATACTTACACCTCTGTTATTTTACTTGTTTTAATACTTCCCTCATCTCTTAGTTGGCTAAACTTTGGGTTGTGATCCATAACTGGGACTGAAATCAATTTAGTCAGTCATGACCAGGGTGTTTTAAGAAATGAAATAGAAAAGAATGGAATGGAAGAAAAATAACAATATATCTTTTATAGTAATAGTAAATATTTCATGGAACTCCTTTCAGTATAGATAAATGCAGATGTAGATAGTGAATCTGTACTGAATCTCATTGTAGAGTGAAATGTAGTTAGTATTGTAGGTGGCAGTAAAACGAAAAGGTTGAAAAACAATGTCTTATATCATCTTAAAGGGGGATTCATTGGCTTTAGAATTCTTGATTTAACATATGCCTGCTAGATTTCTAATTAAAATTCTCCGGTTATAGAATTTTGGAGTCATCTTTGCTCTAACGTCTTCTAGCATTGTTTATTCATATAGAGAGGTCTGTGGCCAAGTTAGACATAATTTGGTCTTTCCTGGATGTCCAGAGAGTTTTTTTCTCTTTATTTTTAAGGTAATTAGTTTCTTCTAAGATATCATGTGCACTTTTGGTCTCTAGATTCAAGTCTTCTTTTATTTCTGGAAGTTTACTTGAATTATATCTTTGAAATTTTTATTTGATTAGATTCTCTGCCCCCCTTATTTTATTTATTTTTTATTCCATCACCATTTACACCCCCTATACCATCTTCCACCTCCATCTACCCTCCTCTCCCACCACAGTCACCACCTTCTTGGCCATGTCCATGAGTTCTTTCTCTGTTTTTTTTGCTCAGTCTCTCCAACACCTCCCCCCACACACCAGCATTGTCTGCCTGCTCTCTATGAATCTGTCTCTATTTTGCTTGTTGGTTCAGTTATTCTGTATCATATATTTGTTGTCTGTCCTTTGCCTGTTTCATAAAGCTATTTTCTCCTTGATCCTTTATTAGTTTCCAGTTATTTTGCTTGCTTTCTCAATCCTGTCCTCCATGTCTCACCCTGTTTTTTTTTCTAGCAGTGGCTAATCTGCTTTGTGCTGCCTTCAGTAGAATTTTCATTTTTTTGATGTTTCCATTTTTCTCTTGCAGTTCACCTTTGGCCTTTCTCAACTCATATTTCATTATCTTCCATTGCTGTGCCATGTTTTCTTGTACTGTCCAATCCCTACTGTCCACAGGTTGATTATTCCACTACATTTTCTTTGAATGTATTGCATTATATTTTTCATAATTTTTACGTGTTCAGTATTTACTTATCCGTCATGTGCTTATCTTGTTTTTATTCCTCACTTTCTCTTTGTGTATTTTACAGATCTTGTACTACTTCTTTTCTGTTGTTTTTATTAAAGGTCTTATTACTGACCTTTGAATTAAGTGAGTTTTTCCTAGACTATATAATTGCAGGATAGTTGTGGCTAGGGCATTATTTCAGACTAAAGAGAATTCTCTCTGCTTAACATGGAAGCTTCGTGTAATTCAGAAAAAGAATGTGTGTATATGCGTTTATGTGAGAGAAAAATTGAGAATGTTTGTTCATTTAGCCTGCACTCCTCCCTAGCTGCAGAGATGGGCGGTTACAATGCTACTTGCGTTCTAGAATCTCTCTTCTCCTCGGACCTTACCAATATGCATGCTTCAGAGAAAGATGGTGATTCTATATGATCCTTTGTTGACACACCTTAGAATTTGTCAGTTAGTTAAAGAACTGTGCTCTCCCATGATTGCTGAGATCTGTTCCCTCTCTGTCTTATCACAGCCCCATTAGATTCAGTTGCATATGGCAGCTCTTCTGAGTATTTTGCCATTTGGGATTTCAGGTGACTCCTGATTTCATCAAAGGTGGGCTTAAAAAAAAAAATCTCAAAATATCCTTGTTGTTTAGGGTGATTTCTGAGACGATAAAGGGAGAGAAAATCCATTTCCATTATCTTAAAAGGAGAAGTCCTCTTCAGCTCCCCAGTACTCTTTTTAACTTTGGCAGTATGCATGCCAACATGTACACCAAAGTTAGACCTGCTTTTTTTTTTTTTTTTAATATATCTTTATTGATTTCAGAGAGAGGAAAGGAGAGGGAGAGAGAGAGATAGAAACATCAATGATGAGAGAGTCATTGATCTGGGGATTGAGCCTGCAACCCAGGCATGTGCCCTGACCAGGAATCAAACCCCGATCTCCTGGATCCTAGGTTGACGCTCAACCACTGAGCCATTCCCGTCTGGGCTAGACCTGCTTTAAAGATTAGTTTGAGAGTTAATGGCATTGAACTTGGGCCATATAGTTCAGGGAGAATGAACTGACAGAGCCTTGAGCCGAATGCAACAATGAATAATGCCTTATAAATACAGTGTAAAAAAATGCTCACCATTATCCATGCAGGGGAGCTTTTTTTTGTTCCCCCCTTTTTAATCCTAACCCAAGGACATGTCCATGGATAAGATCAAGAGGAAAGGACAGAGAAAGGGAGAGAGAAACATTGATTGGTTGCCTCTCATACGCTCCCCAACTGGAATCCCCCGAACCTGCAACCTCTCGGTGTATAGGATTTGACACTCCAGCAAACTGAGCCACCTGGCCGGGATCGTGCAGGGTAGCTTTTATTGCCTTGTTGCACTTAATAAGATCTGATTCATGATGGTGGCTTTATTGACAGTTTGGAGTTTAAACAATATAGTTTCAATCTATATTAGAGAAATTATGATGAACTAAACCCAAGAGAAGGAGAGGAAGAGGGACAAGAAACCAACACTCACTGGTCACTGGTATTACATTCTTCTTGCCCTGAACTTGAATTTTTATGGTTTTGTCTCCTTTAATCTTCACAAACCATTCTGAGTTGGCATTATCCTTTTGACAAATGGAGAAAATTAAGGCAGATGAGCCTAAGTAACTGTTCAAAGTCACCAGTTAGTACTCCAGCCTCCATAATTTTTAAACTACCTTTCTGCCTCTCTAGTTACCACATTCATGAGATTAAAGGTGTCTCCACACAACTGTGGTGTTCTGTAAAGATAATATCAAAAGATCCACAAAAGGGCCTCCCAGATGTTTTGTTTTCTTCATTCAAGCTGGGTGATGCTGCTACTTTCCATGGACTAAGGGGCCACTTCTCTGAGCAGCATCATAACCACACCCAACACTTAACTTGGTGTGTTTTCAACCTGTAGTTTGTAACCATTAATTAGTTCCTCTGAGGTAAGTCATTGTCTCATTTCACAGAGGAGGCAGCCAGTATGGAGAGAGGTTAAGTGATTTTTCCAGTATCAGCAGTGAGTCCCAGAACAGAGAGCAGAGATTGGCCCTCTCCATAGGCTTAGCCTATACACAAGTACCCTGCTAACCAAGTGTTCAGTCATCTCAACCCCTTCATAACCCGCACTGTGAAAAAGATGCTTTCTTACACCTCCGCTGTTAGGCAGAGTGTGTTATGAAACTTGGCAACAGATGAGAAAAAGAAAGGTCAAATCAAGGATTTTATACACAGGAAGCACATTTTCAGTATTCAGTGTCAAGTATTTCAGATCATGAAGCTAAGACCATTTTAGTGAAAAGTTGCTGCTAATAACATTTTTTTAAGTCTGTCTTTTCTTAAATTATTTATTTAAAGTGGGGGGAGAAACATTGATTTGTTGTTCACTTCTTTATGAACAACATTAATTAGTTGACTCTTGTATGTGCCCTGACCAGGGATCAAACTGCAGCCGTGGGATATTGGGGCGATGTTCTAACCAACTGAGCTACCCAGCCAGGGCAAGAATAACATATTTAAAAAGTTACATTAAGAGGTTATGGGGAAAGGAACTGGCTTATTTTGGGAAGACTATCAAGCAGTAGGACATGAAACGAATTTCCATTTGTTCTTTTGGCTGTCTTTAATTTCACCAAGAAATAGGTTTTTTGGAGTTCATAAAATATAACCGCACAAAATATGGCTCATTATAAAATGGAGGAGGGAGATGATATAAATTAGCCCCCAAAAACCAGGCCTTATTTTTAAATACTTGCATTGCAATGGAAATAGCCTCAGATTTCACCCAGTGCAGTCTAAGCATTATTGAAGGATTTCTTATTTTTCTCCTTAAGTGACGATATATAGTACTTCATATGCAGCGATGTTTTTGGAATAGCAAGTATGTAAGCAACAAGAGGGAAAAGTACATGTAATATGAAGGTGGCTGTCTCAGCACTTTTCATTTTTGTATGTGAAGTCCATTACCTCCTGTGATAACTTTGTTGACAGTACCCACAAATATATTTAGAGCCGAGTTTTATAAAATAGATCAGGAATCATATGACTAACAGACCTGGCTCATGACACATGTCAGCCTCAGATAGATGGCACATTTTCTGTTTTAAAGACTCAAACAAAACTTTTCACATTCGTCTTTGGAAAAAAAAAAAAAATTACATTTGAAGTCCTTTTTCACCCAAACACATTTTGAGATAAGAGCTCACAAGTCTTGACATTATTTCATTTTGTTATGCGCATCTGTCAAGGAACCGAGATATGATACAGCCACTAAAAACTGGTGATTGCAGAACAGAGAGACTTGACAGCATTTCATTTCCTTTATGTTCTGATTATACATTTATCAGAAAGCCTGTATCTCTCCTAGTTCAGCCAGAAATTGGTAGGATTCAAGAACTCAAAGGCTTGGCAAAGAACTGTCCTATTATTTGGTATCATCTTACGTTTTAGAGAAGTTGCTTGGTTGAGTCATTGTTAAAGCTTTTGCTTCTCTTTTCATTATCGTGGCTCACTATCCACAGATCACATTTCTATGGGCCCTATAACTGCCTTGCCGCACAAATTAAATGCCGGTATATTTCTTACATATACGCCAGCGTCTCAATACTTGTCAATCAGAGCTTATAAAATATTGGGATTACAGCCTGATATTAACATCCAAATCTTTTGTGCTCATTTTATGTGTGAAAATGAGAAACGCTCATGCAGACGCTCAATTTCCCAGCTGCTTTGTCACCCTGTTTTTAATTTATCTCCAGGTTTTGAGTCAGTAAAATGATTTTGCTTATCAGTTTAATGTAGTGATAAAACATATCTGTGAATCGGAATGATCAGAACTAAAGTGGATCTACAGGTTGTTTGGCATCCAGCCCAGCCCCATGGAGGGCTTTAATGGGGCGACTATGTAGAATAAATACACCCCTGTATTTTTTTAAATTGTGCCTCTACGAGTGATATGATTTGCTTCACGTGAAGAAGTGGACATAGAGATACATTGCTGTAGAGAGGACTTCAAAACTTGAAACATGTTCTTTTTATGCCTGTCTTTTTTCTTTATTTTTTATTACAGGTGTACTTCAAAAGGAATTACCCAGATATTACTCAGAACGGCCACGTGGTTGTGAACGCTTCCAACGGCCAGCCCTCCACCTTCACTATTTTTGAGACAGCGCTGTGATTCTAGCACGATGTCAAGCCTGCTCTGAAGGCGATTCTCCGATAGTTTTGCACTGTCTGAACTACACTTTTTTTTTTTACACTAGCGGCAAATATTTACACGTACAAGATGTTTGTTTATTTGGATTTTTCCTCCAACTTCACCCAATGATTCCAAGCTCTAACAAAATTACTTATTATTTTTATTTATATTTATATGTTATAGTGTGTGTGTTTTCTTATTCAAATCAGAAGTGCAGGCCACCAAAAAAACTGTCTACCAGGTTTTGTGCCTTAAGAGACTCAGAGCCAAAGCTCATTTTGTGTCAAGTGTGAGACAAAGTTTTAAGAGATTTTTTTTTTACCACCCCCCAGACTACATATGACTTTGCAGTTCTATCAGGGATTCTATTTACTTGAAAACTGTGTGAAGTTGCCATTTTGTCTTACCACTTTCTTTAACATTACCTAGGATCCGTTTACCCCCCGCAGGCCTCGGGCTAAAATAGTACAGATAATACTAATAGGAAAAACAAAAAATATACTTCGGTGTAAGTGGCATTATAGTAGGGAGAGTCTACCCCCCACAAAAAAGTATAGTTAAAATATAGAAAGACAATATTCAATTATATGTTCTAAAGGAAGATAAAATAATGCTTTCTCAATATAGGAGCCCTGATAGGTGATTCAATAAGGAAGGACACGGTGTGATCATTGATCATATTTTAAATTTGCATGACGTTGACATGGTAACTGTTGCAGTTTTAGACCCAGCATGGCGGTGATATTTTCAAAAAAGGCCAAACCGCTACAGGAGTTCCTGAATATGTAGTAGTACTCTATTGGGGTTTCTGGTTTACTGCCGGCTAACCTTCGGTTGACTAGAAACCTTTTGGGTTCCCCTTTATTGAAATTCCTTCTAAATTGCATAGGCTCTCCCGAGTTGGTATGAAAAACAAAAATCATTGCAAACATTGACTGTAATTATACAGTATATTCTCAGGATGCATCCCAAAGGGTCACTTTTATGGGCCTACCCAGGTTAGTTTACTTTGGACAACTAAGAGCAGTTTCTTTAGGTCTTTCTGATTAGTAAGTGAACAAACCACAGTACTTCCTAGGGCCTGCAGTACTTTCTTTGAACTTTGGGTCTTTAGTTTTTCTTCATGGTGATGGCGATGGTATGTTGTTCAAGTTACTAAAGGTTTTACTGTCATGGTTTTAAGCAGACTCTCATGACCTCTCAGAACAAGGTATAACCACCTTCAAGTTGCATATATTAACATATATGCCATCATATAGCAGGTTTTTGGACTCTTCAACAGAAACAGATGTTTTATAGACTCAAGCCTTAAAAACATACAAACACAGCAGACTACCAAAATACAAAATACATCGAATGCTGTAGCTGTTGAACATTTTCTATCTAGAAATAATATGGTTAATGTTTAGTCCAGTAAACCAGTAAGTTGTTTAATAGTTGAGGTTAGTATCAGGAGACTGAAATGACAACAATGGTAATAATGAGGTTTGTTAAACAGTGGAATTATTTGAAATGTGTGTGCGTTTATTTTGTCTTTAGAGGTTAAGGGTGGTTAAAAAAATGTTTCTACTTTATTTCTGTTTTACTGTCATCATAGGGTTTTTAATGAAACAAAATTCAACTGAAATAAATGACAGTTTCCATTTCCATTTAGAGGTCTGTATTTTTGTTCTTAGATTACTGACTCATGTCCTTGCTGTTGAAAGCCAATGTGTTTTCCTGAGATCAAAAACTATCTTCCATTACTGACTGGTTCTCTTGATGAATTGGGTGTACCAAATATCCTAAGTGGGTAGATTGGTTTCAGACAGGTTGAAATAGTTGTTATTGAAGCAAACCCAATTGCACCACTTCCAGGAAAAAGGCAAAAGTATTAGCTTATTATGCCTTATACTTGAACAAGTATTCAATTGTTGAGGTTTTTATTTTTTGAAAGGTGACTTTGCCCTAGACTAACAAGAAAAATCTGTTGCTGCTACATGTACAACACTGGGCATCTATAATAATGTCAACAATAAAAATAAAATATAATTTAAAAAAATAATTTAAAAAATAAAACACTGTAGAACATTGGTTCTCACGTGTAGTCGCTGGCCCAGCAGCAGTAGCATCACCTGGGAACTCGTTAGAAGTGCAAATTCGTGTTTCTCGCTCCATGTCTACTGAGTTAGAAGCTCTGGTGGTGGGGGCCAGTATTCTGTGTCTTAACAAACCCAAAGGGGTGATTCTGAGGCAGTCTAAAATCTGAGAACCAGTACTTAGAACCTAAAGAACTCTGAAAACTCATTAAGAAAAACACGAAATGGACACAGAAACTTGAATAGGCACTTCACGAAAGAGAATATCCAAATGGCCAGTGCCTGGGAAAGTGCTTGCTCTTGGTAGTTACCGGGAAAATGCAAATTGAAGCCACAATGAGATGCCACTGAACACCCTCTAGAATGGCTAAAATTAGAAAGGCTGAGAATAACGATTGAGGGCCAGTGGAGCAGAGGGAACTCTCCTGTACTACTGTGTGTATAAAAAAATGTATTTTGAAAACACAGTTTAAACAGTTGGACAGCATTTACTCAAGCTGCACACCTTGTGATCCACTAATTTTACTCCGAATATATACAAGAGATATGCTCAAGGATGTTCCTAGAAACATAATTCCTAACTAATAGCCCCAAATTGTAAATAATCCAAATGCTTATCAACAACGGAAGGAAAATAAACTGTGATGTAACACAAACTCCACAGCAATGACAGCGATTAATTACATCAACAACACAAGTGAATCTCACAAACTTAAGTCTGACCCAAAAGAATTATGTATGGTTCCATTTATACAAAGTTCAAACATAGTCACAACTAAACTGTACAGTTCAAAGTGAGAGTAGTTCTTCACCTTGGGGAAGTGGAAGGTGTTGGCAATCGAGTGAAATAAAAGTTGAATTTTTGAGGTGCTTAAAGTTTTCTTTTTGGTGGGCTGAATGGTAGTTAGAACCGTATTGGGCTCTTGGTTTATCTCCTGCAGTTTTCCTTTGCATGTTATACTTCACAACTGAGTTAACTAAAAACAGAGTTCTCAGTCTGTTTTTCTTTTAGAATCTTACTCAAATTCATTAGCTTAAACATTTAAAATTGACTAAACTGCATCTGGGAAATGATTTCTGCTTAAAATATGAGTCTTTTTAAGGGTGTCTTATAGTTCATAGCAAATGGTTCCCTTTGAAGCTCAGGATCTCCACTTTCTCTAACCAATTAATAAAATAAATTGCACTTCCTCTATCCAATTCCAGGATAAGTACAAAAACAAGGAACTCTAAGGATTTTCCTGAGTTCTATTTTTTTAAACTACTTTATTGAGGTATGATTAACATACAAAAATCTGTACATAATTAATATATACAACTTGATGAATTTAGAGGTAAGTATACACCGTGAAACCACCACAGTCTGTGCAATAAACTTATCCATCACCTCCAAAAGTATCCTCCTGCACTCTTATAATTTCCATTAGTATGAATGAGATACAAACAAAAGCCAATCTAATACTAAATGCTTTTGATCACACCGTAAATGGTTAGGTCTTAACTTGTGAAGAAATAGCTTAAAGCAATTCAATGAGGCTGTTAGAATTACTAAGGCCCGGCCGGGCGTGGCTCAGCCGGTGAGCATCGACCTAGGATCCAGGTGATCGGGGTTCGATTCCCGGTCAGGGCACATGCCCGGGTTGCGGGCTGGATCCCCAGTGGGGGGCATGCAGGGGGCAGCCGATCAATGACTCTCTCATCATTGATGTTTCTCTCTCTCTTCCTCTCCTTTCCTCTCTCTGAAATCAATAAAGTTACATTTTAAAAAAAAAGAATTACTAAGTATTGTGGTGATTGGATGAGTTAACTGTTAATTTATCAACAGATTAACTTGTGCCTCTGTAAATTGATGAAATGTGTGCTTTCTTTCTGATGGTTTGGAAATACTAGAAGCCCCTCTCCTCAAACCTAAGTATTTGTTTTATATCTAATTCTGAAAAATTTAATGATGTTCAGAATCTGATGCCCTGAAGTGTGTGAGATTTAGCACCTGAATGTGTAAGTCCCTTCTTACAACCAATTCTGTTTTGGAGTGTTTTCAGGATTCACCTTTACCGAGAGTGTACGACATTCTGGACACCGTATCTCAAGAAACCTTCCTTGTCCCTCCACAGTTGGAGTTCAGGGAATGGGCAAACTTACATTTGACTAAAACGAAAGAGGGAGAAAGGACTCTTTTCACTTGGAATGAAGAAAACAAAGTTCAAATGAAAACAAAACAAAAAGTTCTAAAAGCCACGTTTATAGTCAATGTAGTTTAGTTACCAAATGACCTAGCTTTCAGAAGTTCACTTACTGAAAATTGAACCAGTGTGTCAAAAAAAGGAAATTATATTCTATTCCAAAAATAATGGTAATGAACTACATTATTCCACAAGTACAGACTGAAAAATAGTCAGAGGTTTCCTCAAGAAATGCGATAGATCCATGGATTAATTTCCACAAGATGTGTATGTGTCTTAATGGGCATGTTGGCCCTTATCAAACTGAGGATTTTAAACCGAAACGTAACCACATTCACACACGGAATCCTTCTTTCTACCATTTTATCTTCTGTTTTGGGATAGAAATAAAGGATGCATATAACCAATAATTTTCAGGTAAAAATCCCCTGCAAGTGCTGGAATCTTTTGACAGCTGCTGTAGTTTGGTTCCCCGGTATCCAGACTCAGACGGAGTTTAGTGTCAGGATGTTCACTGGGGCGTCCCACTGGGCCCACCGGGTCTGGGGTCCCGAGGGGCAGGGCAGGGCAGGGCAGGGCCGGGGGGAAATGGAGCTGGGTGCTGGCCCCGCAGCTCAGCGGACCGCACTGGGAGCGCTGCAGCTGGGGGCCGGGGGCTGTCTGCCCACGGCCGGGACCTCATGCCTCCACCTGACCGCTTGCCTCCAGGCTGCCCCTCCCAAATGCCGGCGGCCTCTCAGCAAGTCCTTGAAGGGAGAGCTGGGCGGCACATCCCCGTGGCCACCACGGTGTGTCACAGGTCCAGAGGGAGCTAATTAGGATGTATGCCGCAGGAAATTCTTGGTGATGACGTTTAAGTCAAAATGACTGATTAAGCGGTTGTCCACAATACCCTGTAGTCTGGAAAACAGA